AGCTTTCCGAGCTGCGTCGGCCTTCCGACCGATCGCCAGCCCGATAAGCCATGCTTCCCAAGTGAGTTTTTCACAACTTCCGAGGGGTCGAGGAGGGGTGCGGCGAGTGGGCGGTCGGCTGTCGGGAATGGCGATCACGGGGAGGGGGAGGATTAGGGGGAGGAGAGCAATAGCATTAATGGATTTGGAAATAGCCCTGAAGCGCAGGTAGGTGTAATAAGTTGGTCGGGGTGCCGTGCGATTATACGCCGCTTAATCCGGTAGAAAGAGTGCAGGCGGAGAAAAGCTGGTGGGAGAACGAGGTACGGTGGGAGAGTGCAAGGTTGGTTGGTTGGTTGGTGGGTGTTTGAAGGAGAGGTTGTATGAAGTCTAGGCAAGCGCCTCAGTCGCCATCGGCGACTGCTGGTATATGCTGTTGAAGTTGGAGATTACGGTGGAAGAGGTGTTCTTTCGTAGCACGGGGGTTTAGCGTCGGGCGCGACGGTGACAAGGCATGCTTCATGTTCTAGAGGGTGAGCGGCAGTGGTGAGTGAGGAAACGTCATGACATAGTCCAGACAAGGATATTCTGGTACATGGAGAGATTTTAGGATTGAGAAGAAGAAGGGAATGAGGTGCAGGTAATGGACAGAATAGACGAGGGTCCAAAAGTCGGGATAGACTCAGACTGGGGGGTGGTGGTGGGTAGGTGGGCGGAGGGAGAGAAGAAGTGGTACAGTACTGGGTGGTAGTGGTAGTGGTAGTGGTAGTGGCAGTTTAGTGGCAGTGGTTAGTGGGTGACGGATTGTCCGGTCGGCGGGTGTGAGTGAACCTGCGCAGAGTTAGTTGGTTAGTTGAGGCTCTGACTACCGCCAACCCGCTAAACCAGACCGAGTAGCTCTGCTCTTCGCAAGTTATGGCCGGGCTGGGCTGTTAAAGGGAGAGGGAGGGGGGAAAGAAAAGGTGGGACCTTCCCGCCTACTAAATTGACTTACTGAACAGTGAACACCGAACACCGAACACTACACTACGTATTGAGTGTACTGAGTACTGTACAACTGTACAGCTGGGCACTACACCAGTTCCTACAGTTCCTACGGTTTCTACAGTTTCTACAGTTTCTATACATGCAGTACGAACTTTACATACCCGAACCTTCCAAATACTAAGTACGAGTACCAGACTAGGATCTGGAAAATTTGATCGTTGGTAATGATGTCAAGATCCGACTGATTTTCCGAACCCTCTCACTTTTCATATGGAATAAGGTTAATATACTTACTTCTCTTCCGAGTGCGCAGAATGGATCGATTATCTAAGGTGAAATAAGTCCAATTAGTTACGAACTTACGTTAACAACCCGACCAGTCCGACCTCAACTAACGTCGCTAGAAAAGGGAGTGGTCTCCGGGGATTGCATGGTCCGTGGGCGAGTCTGTGCTTTCTGACGGGAATCCTACCTCAGATGCTGGTCATCTGCACCTTGACCATGCACAGTGCATGCTCGATTCTGTACTCCGTTTTACAGGCATGGACATATCACTAGTGCTCATGCTCATAGTTGTTGCCTCTCTCGCATCAATAATGACCAAGAACGATAAGCCCAGGAGCCAGGTGTTTCATGTTTCGACTATATTTGACGCGTGTTTGACCTTCGAAGTGTAAATGGCGGGAGTAGCTATATATAGCTTAGTACGTAGTAGCTGTGAAGGTAATCTGGCTACCTAGTCTAGTAGTCTAGTGTCTGTCTCCGTAGTTGCTGCTCATTGATCAGTCACCAGATCCAGACCTAGAATCCGTCGCGGGGAAATTTCGGGTGTTCGTCTTGAGCATCTCCCTTTGTTTCTCGATCTCGATCCCGGGTGGCTCGGGTTGATGATCGCAGTTTATCTGGGCTTCGTTCTGATGGCTCGGGTATGGGTAGCTTGTCAGGGAAGGATACTGAGGTATGCAGCCTGAGTGATGTCGTGAGATTGATCTCTGTGTCCATTGCCCGCGCTGATACAATCAGAGTCTAAATTTGGAATATAATGACAAAGTCCAGGTGTCATTTCATTAATCCCAGCATGTTAGCTCAGGGGAAGAGCGCCGGGCTCATAACCCGGAGGACCCTGGATCGAAACCAGGACATGCTAAAGAATTCCTTTTTGTTTTTGCATTGTACTGAGCATCACCAACAACTTTCTATCCTTTCTTATTTGATGTTGCATTCATCTTATGTTTTTCAATGGGCTTGTATGTGAGCCTTTGAGGTAGTATGCTACCTTTAGCAAAAAATGCCAGAAATCTATGCCCTTTGAGAGTCGCCATTTCCTGTACCGCTGAGGTTTGCCTGCCAATGTGGAAATGGATTAACTTCCATGTCAAGCGCGCCCTATTCCCAAGCCTATTGTGGCTCAGTGGTCTCTGTGGGAATCCTGATATAGGGTGTAGCCATGCTGATGTTACTGTCTGAGTGATGTAAGTTATTACTCTTTGTGTGTGTTGGTCTTTCCACACTGGAGCCGCTCTATATATCCTAGCACCGCTCCCATACCCCATGTAAAAACCAAAAAGAGCAATGATGTATACATTCACTTTGAATGGATATTGATCTGGCAAAATCATTCAGACCGGGCCCGTGACCAGGAGATGACAATCACACTGATACAAACAATGGATAGTCATGCTAATAACATTAGAAAAACGCTAGCTGACAAAACAGACCCCATTCCACCTGTGGTGAGTAAACTCTTATGCTTGATGCTGTCATCGTGGCTAATAAAGCATTGATAAGCATCGAGTGACATCAACGAAGCATGTTAGCTCAGGGGAAGAGCGCCGGGCTCATAACCCGGAGGACCCTGGATCGAAACCAGGACATGCTATTGATTTACTTTTCTTTCCTTTTTTTTTTTTTTTTTTTTTTTTTGCTTCATCTTTATCTGACCACGCTTATCCCCTGCCTGCAACTTATCCAGTAACATGTCCCTACAAAAGGTCCTCATTCTAATTCATTCGCTCCCCGAACACGGATCATTGTAAATCCCGCTTGATCTCCATCTGCTCGCCACCCCCCACCCGGCCCAGCGGTTTCTTTGTCCCGCCCCGAAGACTGCTGGCAATGTCACTGGTTCCAACAATAGGCGGAATCTCAATCTATGCAACCGACTCAAAGTCTACAAGAGTCATCCCCGTCAAAGAAATACAATATCAGAATCCTTCCAGTTACAATCCCAGCAAATGACTTTAGCAGGGGGTCCGCGTACCGAGACCATGAACGTCGCACCGCTTTCGCTTGATCGAAGCCCGGCAGTCAGCGACAGGAAACCGATGGTCGGAGTATGTATACCCAGAGCAACTGGGCCTAAATCGTGCTCCATGTCAGCCGTCGAGAGACCTGGCCAATGTCGCCATGCGACCGAAGAGAGTGCCCATCTGTAGCAGCTACCAGGCATTGACCACAGCTATAATACACCCCCCTTCGCTGTAACCCAGCCCTCAACCATTCTCCATATCCGAGGCACCTTATTGTCACTCGCCAACCCCAAGACAAGACGATCAAGAGACTCGATCAGAAAGGGTCGAATTTAAGCTTAACTTCTGCAACAGACGTGGCATGTTTGCTCACCCGCAAGCCTGCAGCGGTATTGGGTGTTTGAACATGGTTGAATGTGATCAGCGACACACGCTTTTATGCCCTGTGACGTACGGAGTAGACAACGAGGCTATTCCGAGGTCCAGTCCCCTCGCCCGAGTCAATGCAGACTACAAATGTACGAAGATCCATGCCAAGTGTACGGAGCTGTATCGTCATCAAACCATGCAGACAAGTGCAAAACTCAAGCCTACAGGTATACTTTAGTGCTGACCTGACTGCTGACTACGCTCAAGGTCGAATCCAAAGCCTACATTAGTTCGAGATAACAACCTCACTTAAAGACATCTCATTCGGTGACTGCAGGTCACACAGGATGATGCAATGACAAGGCAAGAATCAGCAACATCGACTGACCCGGAAATGCCATGCTAGTGCCAGCGTGCGACTGCAGAGGCCACGCAAAGTGCATCGCATCAGACGTGGGCAGAGCGTCACTCTGGCTGCATGCACGGCAGATTGCCAGGGACCTTGCCCCACATCTGCCGAAGCTTGCAGGTACGTAAACAATGAACATGTCATTCCTTGATCAAAGCCACCGGCACAATCTTCTGCCTCGAAGTGTACTCCGTACATGCATAGGCCCAGGACAAAAAAGAGGAGGCTGGGAATGGGGCGGGCAGACGGTGCTAAAATAGTTTAATCGGCGGGTGGCGCTTGATGCTATTGTTAGAAAGGCGGTTTGCATATGACACAGTCACACAAGTGTTGACGGTGTGCGCAGGCCCGTCGGTGTAGATGAAGCCAGAGAGTTTCAGTCAGATCTGGTTGATTCTATCATCAGTAAAGTACATCTGAGCAACAATGCGGTCACTGCAGGGATCGATATACCTGAATATTAGTAGTATTTAATCTTGGGTTGCTGGAGTGAAGGTGATGCCTTACATAAGGCAGCGTCGCTCAAGGATGTTTTGACCGCCGCTCGGAGGGAGCCAATGAGAGAGCATCACTGGGAGAGCTCCGAGGTTCCCTGCCCGATTGGGTAAAATACGGAGTGGAAAACCGAGGAGGCTGGACGATTCATACTTCACTCTTCCAACACTCTCTCCCCACTATTCTTCCTAGTTCCTGCGTCTGAGCCATGGCTGTGAGTACTTCAATTCTTAATTCTTTGACTTCCCCCTCTCCCCCCATATTCCGAACTGCACCTTTTCGTCAATTCTTCAGCACGTGGTGGGCTGCCCGTGATCGATCGTATACTACCTTACCCACGGAGTAATACTTCACCACCTTGTTCCGTCGCCTAATTTTGTCAGTTGAAAGTGACTCGGGTTACACAAGGACTTCCAAGTCCTCCCTCGTTAAGACATCCTATCCTCATCGATATTTAATTCGTCTCCGTGTCCACCCCTTTGCCCGACTGTCTACTACACATACTTCTTGCCATGCAGCTCCCTCGATTTGGGGCCGTCCTGGGCCTCTTCTCCTACTTGAGCCTGGCCACGGCTCAGACTTACACTAGCTGTAATCCTACGGAGAGCAGTACGCTGAGTTACTCCCAGATGATGGAGAAACAGCATGCTAACCACCCTTAACAGCATGTCCTGCGGACACCGCACTGGGAAAGTCCGCATCTTTCGATTTTACCCAAGGAAGCTCTTCCGACTTTGAGCCAACGGGTACCCCAACATATAGTGATGATGGGGTTGCGTTCACAGTGGCTAAAGAGGGGGATGCCCCACTTATCCAATCCAAGTGGTACATCATGTTCGGACGTGTTGAATATGTGATCAAAGCGGCTCCCGGAACCGGTATTGTCAGCAGTGCCATATTACAGTCCGACGACCTGGATGAGATTGATTGGGAGTGGCTCGGTGGGAACGACAATCTGGTGCAAAGCAACTACTTTGGCAAAGGAGCAACCACCCCAAACAATCGCGGAGCGACCCATGACGTCGCTAACAACCACGACGAATTCCACACATATACCATCGATTGGACCGACGAGCAGATTGTCTGGCAGATTGACGGCAAGACAGTGCGGGTGCTCACTCCGGAGACAGCTAACGCCAATCAATATCCCCAGTCGCCAATGGTAGTGAAAGTGGGAATCTGGGCCGGAGGCGACCCGAACAACGCACAGGGCACTATCGGTGAGATATACTAGCAATGTGCCTAAAGATCTTTTCAGTGTGCTAACATTTTGGTTAGACTGGGCTGGTGGAGAGACTGACTACAGCGCTGGGCCGTACACAATGTACATGAAGTCCCTCAAGGTTACCGACTACTCGACAGGGTCCTCTTACACATATAGTGACAAAAGTGGACTGTGGACGTCAATTACCTCCGATGGAGGCAAGATCAACGGCAACATCAATGCAGACACAATTTCCTCCATTCAATCTGCACCTACCATAACCGCGACGGTCAGCATTCCGATTCCTTGGCCTGGGACCCATCGAGAAACTTCGAGTTACGTGACCCCCGACGTCTGGCCTTGGGTTACTGGCACAGGGGCAGCCGCTGCCTACACTGGTAGTTGGTCATATTCCAGCTCAGGACAGGTTCAGCCGCCAAGTGCGGCGTCCGTGAGTGAGCATCTCCAGTACAATTTTGATGAATTGTTGGACGATAGTTGACGCATCAATGAACAGCCTTCCTTCCGGTCTACATCAGCCTGCTCGCCATCTGCGCCGGCCTCATCCTCCCACTTCGTCTCTAGAACTAGCTCGATGGCTAGATCAATCGCCAGCTCAATCGCCAGTTCAACGGGGACTAGTGTGACATTGACCGGCTTGATCAGCTTAACCAGCTCGACGAGGGTCAGCTCGCTGGAGTCCATTCCAACGCCCTACTGGAAAACGACCAGCTCGACAACGACTGGCCGGATGACAAGCAGTGCGATGCTTAGCAGTTCTAAGAGACCTAGCACCCATCTGACCGGCCCAACAATGACTAGTTCGATGATGACCAGTTCGACGATGATCCTTCCAACGCCCAGCTGGAAAACGACCAGCTCGATGATGACCAGTCCGACGACGACCAGTTCCACGACGACCAGTTCCACGACGACCACTTCGGTGGCGACCAGCTCGATCAAACCCAGTTCATTGCCGACTAGCCCAACACCGACTGGCTCGCATACCGGTTCGACTTCAAGTGGCTCAATGACAGCCAGTTCGAATGTCAGCAGCTCTACATCACATAGCTCTACTGCTACATCACAGACCAGCCTGAACACTGGCCATACAACCTCTTTATCTTCCACCATGACCACGAAAGCCATCAAAACCACCCAGCCTACTACTTCAACTGGATCCTCGACTCGACCTACACAAGTATCGCCGACCGAGACAGTCCACATAGCACCTAACGTCGACGCAGGACGCGGTTGTTTTGATGACGTTCCACTTTCCATGGCCGCTATATGTGGGCTCATCTCGTTCACACTGGCTCTGGTCTAAACCATGCCTATCCATTGCGAATGATTAACCTTTACGAGTTATGTTACATTTCTACGATCATTGTGAGGCGACGTTATGCGACACGATACAACCAAGACTAATGATGCACGACCTTTTATGAATAATTGCTTCCTATGTATATGAATGACGACCTCGGGTTGATCTTGTTGATATTTTCTATTGGATATGTATAATGTCAGTGGGGCAGCCATCAACATGCTGGCGAGAGTGTTGGATTTAAACTTAAGAGCCCGTGGCCTAGACACTCCTAGATAGCAGTAACCCTAAAGAGCATCTCCGAGACGTGATACGCTGCAACCAGAAGTACATGAGCTAGTTGTTGTCGGAGCGATCTGTAGATCACTGTTCTGAAAACCGACCAAGCAAGCAGGTCAAGCTTTTTCTTGCCATTTGACTCGACGCACACGACACTCAACTAAGAATTTTCACCGGGAGAGTACCCAGACCATCTTTCTAACAAAGTACCCCAACCACCCAGCCCACAACATCATAATCGGAACCAAGCAGCCCCCAGCGCCCACGATCAACAACCCCACAACAATCCAACAAACAGCGGGGGCCACCGCTTCTCTGCAGAGATACACAGTAGAATCCCCGCGCGCGCGATCCTAGAGTAACCTAGAGTATAACCCACCCTACTTCACAAACCCAAACCCCAACATAAAACATCAACCACGTCCAGATACTTACGTTCATCTCCGTCAAAAATCACCGAGCAACACCGCAGAAACTCCCGCATCCGACCCATGCTCTCCTACCTCTTTTTCTGCGATATGTGTGCAAGCATCACACAGGACTGCGACCCTGCAGCGTCTCATCCAAGCCCTGGCCCCTGCTCCGATGACCGGACCGGACCTTCCACCGGTGGACGAAGCAGCGGCCCAGCCCGAACAGCGGGGATGCGTGGACCACGCTGTCGGCGCCGGTGTAGATGAAGACGTCGTAGAGCCAGCCGCCGACGGCGCAGCCGAGGAAGGGGGCGATCATTGGGATCTGGTCCGAGTTTTTCTGGGTCAGTGTTGTTGTTGGGGGGGGGGGTGTGGGTTGTGGGGGATGTGTTTCTCAAGTCCTAAAGGGGAGTGGTTGCGTGCATACTGTCTGAACGGAGAAGAAGACGCATACCCAGAAGTAATATCCTCCGGCCGTCCAGACCTCCGTCCCGTACCCGATCATATACGCCACCAGGCGCGGACCAAAGTCCCTGGCCAGGTTGATCGCGTACCCTGTTTCCCAGCCGAAGCAGGCGCCGATGCCGAAGATGAGGAAGAACATGGCTAGGGGCATCATGAGGGGGAGACGGGGGTTTGTTGGAGTGGCGGCGTTGTCCTGCTTGAGCTCGGTGTTATTCTTCACGGCAAAGATCCCGAACATCAGGATCGCGCTGGCGATGAACTCGGAGAAGAACATGCCCGTCCGCGTCATGAACGGGGCGGGATAGGTGCTGAAGATGCCTGCGGTGGCGGTCGAGGAGTACCCGGGGACGGTGCGGATTGTAGAGCCCCCCTCGTAGGCGTCGATGGCCGAGCGGTAGTTTGCATAGATGATGGCCGCGCCGCACATGGCGCCTAGCACCTGCGAGAGGAGGTAGATGGGGAATCGGCGCCAGGGGAAGCGGCGGAGCAGGCAGCTGGCGAGGGTGACGGCGGGGTTGAGGTGCGAGCCTGAGGGGCTGGAGACGTAGACCCCGAGCATGACGCCGAGGCTGTGGTGGTGGGTGTTTAGCTGTGAGTAGCATATGGGGATGAGGTGATGAGGTGGGGTGTGTGCACAGTACGTTGGGGGAGTGTCACGGATGATAGAATGGAAACAACAACAGCTTACCCCCAGCCCCAGGTGATTGACTGATACTCGCCTTTCTGTTTCCCACTGAGCAGCACTTGCGCTACCACCCCGTCACCGAAGAGCATCATGATCATGGTGCCGAAGAACTCGGAGAACGCATAGCGGAAGACATGTCGGATCCGGCTCCATCGTGGCGGGATTGGCTGTGGCGTGGACTCGCCCTCAGTAAGATTGAGGCCATCAACGGCGGCTTCGAGGCTCTTGCTCGCACTGGCTAGGGTTATGCTGCTCTGGATGACAGGGTCCGCCATGTAGGAGTAGTAAAATTTGTCCATCTCGAAGGCCAGAGGTCGAAGGGGGACGGAGAAGTGTTTATGTAGAAGAAGGCTCAGTCAGGTCCAGTAGAAATCACCGAGATGTAGAAAAGGAGAAGTTGAAGAGATGTGGTGGGACATGCTGCTACTAGTTTGGTGGTCAATATTCTCCATGGTGTGACTTTCACATTCACTTTCTCGCCGTCGCCATAGTCAGTATAGCTTGTTTAGATGGCCCGAAACGGGTTTCCTCGCCAATCTGATACCTTGGTACGCAATACATGGCGCGAAACAAAAGGACCATAAGTCGAACGATAGGTACCATAATTCTGTATATCTCTTTCTCGGGAGTGCAGATTGTCCAACCTGGGTAACAGACCTACAGACATTGCCCAGGCCCGGTTTTGACGACTCGGGGATATGGACGTATAGAATTAGGGTTGTTGAACAGCAGCCTGCTGATCCTGATGGTGCCGATTGAGCTGAACTTTCCTTGTCTAACCAGGGTAGGGACGGCAGATGATTCGATAGGCGTTGCTTGGACTGGTATCATTGATCAATCAACTCGACCGATAGGAACAGGCTTGCACATAGAAGTTGCTCATGTCCTACAGCACCCCTGTGTCCATTGAGTAACTGAACACCACCGCTTGTGCAACCTGTATGCATGGTGGAGGGCTACCATGACGAACCACATGCGAGAGACACGAAGTCCCTGAAGTGAGGTTGTTCGAATTAGAGTGACACTATCATCAGTATTCGACTTATGCACGAACGTGCACGATTTGTAACCAACCATGTTGCTGTCACTGTGTCAAAGTGTGTAGTCAAGCACTGGCTGCGCATAAAGTACGAATTACTTACTCAATCTAAAGGTCAAAGCCATCTAGAATTCATCCATGCATGAGACTGGAGTGCAGTTAGTAGTTGTATGGATGTAGGTTCAATGTTGGTGGTGAGAAGACAACTGGCTGACCGAGCTAAACTGGATACTTCCTCCTCTCCCTTTTCTCCCTCCTCTTCACAACCACTTCATCATTCTTTCCACATCCCCTCAAGTCTTCAAGCCACGATGTCACAAGACCAAACTCAATGGGAGAATTGAACTGCCGGCCCAATCTCTGCTGGCGCCATAGCCTGCCGCAGACAGACCGACACAGGGCAAACTTATCTGGCTCTCGTGTTTGGAATGTTGTCCACCTTCCCAGCTGACTGGAACCCACTCAGTGTCAAAACCATTCTACAAACAAAGATGCGGTGCAAGTGAGTGATTGAGCCCCTGAACAGGCCATCTGAGCCATGCGCCGTGGAATATGGTCTTTCCAAGATGCCCCGCAGATGAGCACTTTGTCACGAGTGTTGGGTTGTACAAGCATCGTTTGTACATTACAGTAACTGCCCCGCCAACTTCCCCAGCCCCTCAATGGTCTGCCTTCTACATTGTTTGATATATAACACAAATAGCCCTTGGAAGTCTCCCCAATGACTACAGAAGCCATCCACTCACATCTCATTACTTGCACAAAGAGCTTGGTGCTTAAACTACCGCCAACAAGGACTTTGTCCCTCCCAGCAAGATGGACAGACCAGATGTATTTGTTGGCTCAATCGACCAAGGAACTACTAGCACCAGGTTCCTCATTTTCAGCGAAGCTGGCGAGCTAGTGGTATCTCACCAAGTCGAGTTTACACAAATCTATCCAAACCCAGGGTGAGGCAATGACATCCTGAAAACTGCCTGTTACTGACACAAACTCAGATGGCATGAACAAGATCCGCTCGAGATAGTCTCCTCCGTGGAAACCTGCATAGAAGAAGCGGTCACCAAGCTCGAGGCTCAATGGTTATCTCGCTCAGATATCAAAGCAGTCGGCATTACAAACCAGCGCGAGACCACCATCGTATGGGACTCGGAAAGCGGCGAACCACTCTACAATGCAATTGTCTGGACAGACACCAGATCGCAAGATATTGTGGATCGGCTCAAACAAAAACCGGGGACATCGCGACTGCAGCAGATCTGTGGTCTCCCGCTGTCCACCTATTCATCTTCGACGAAGCTTCTCTGGATGCTTGATAACGTCCCCAAAGTCCAAGAGGCCTACGAAAAAGGCACCCTGGCTTTTGGGACTGTCGATGTGTGGCTAGTGTACCGACTCAATGGAGGTCCTAAAGTAAAGAATGTCTTCGTGTCAGACCCCACAAACGCATCGCGAACCATGTTCATGAATCTGAAGACCCTCAAATACGACGACTATCTTCTAGACTTCTTCGGCATCAAAGGCAGGATCCATCTGCCCAAAATAATCCGTTCTTCGGACCCCAAGGCCTATGGGACGCTCGCGCATGGCGCTCTAGCGGGCACACCTATCACGGGCTGTCTGGGAGATCAATCGGCAGCGCTGGTCGGCCAGAAGGGATTCTCGCCTGGAATGGCCAAGAACACATACGGCACGGGCTGCTTCCTTCTGTATAATGTGGGAGACACCCCGGTCATCTCTTCACACGGATTACTGGCCACTGTGGCGTATCACTTCGACGGGAAACCCGTATATGCCCTGGAGGGAAGCATCGCAGTAGGAGGATCCGGTGTCAAATTCCTCCAGAACAACCTGGAGTTCTTCGAGGAGCCCGCAGAAGTCAACGATCTGGCGTTGACAGTCGATAACAATGGTGGCTGTGTATTTGTCACTGCATTCAGTGGCCTATTTGCTCCCTACTGGATCGACGATGCCAGAGGGACTGTTTGTAAGATAGTAACCCCTTCCCACTCTACCCTCAGCTTATCCCTCCATACAACTCCCCTCCCCCTTTAAGCCACCATCCACTAACAGACAAGACAGTCGGAATAACCCAATACACCCAGAAAGGCCACCTCGCCCGCGCGATCCTGGAAGCCACCTGCTTCCAAACCAAAGCCATTCTCGACGCCATGGAGAAAGACAGCGGCCATGCCCTCGCCGAGCTGGCCGTGGACGGAGGCATGAGCAACTCAGACCTAGCTATGCAGGTAAAGTCAATCAACCCGACCATACACCTCTTCCCTCCATACTCCTCTCCCACAATTCCTTCCCTTTCCACTTAAAGCTCCTAACCACCATCACCACCATCAAGAACTAACAAGCGCAAGCAAGATCCAAGCAGACATAGTCTCCATCCCCGTCTACCGGCCCCAAATGCGCGAGACCACCGCCCTGGGCGCCGCCATCGCCGCCAGCCTCGCCGCCGGCGTCTGGCGGAACTTCACCGAGCTGCGCGAGATCAACCGGGGCAGTGGCAGCGGGGGCACGGTCTTCGAGCCCCGGCCCGGATATCGCGAGGAGAGTGCACAGGCGTTCGCGTTGTGGGAGAAGGCGGTGGCGATGAGTCGGGGGTGGGTGGGCGATCACCGTCATCATCGTGGGACGGAAGAGCAGAACCCAGCGGCGTCGGACCATGTTCGCGTTGATATGCCCCTGGATTTGAACGGGCTGGTTGGTGGTCAACATCGCGTGACTACCGCTACTGCTACTTCTACCTCGAAAGCGGTAGGGGTGGTCTGGCCGCTCCAGGTCTCCTTGATCAGCACGTCGGCGGATCTGGAGGATGCGGATGAGGAGGACTTGTACCTGGAGTTGCGGAGGGTGGAGATCCTGCAGAGGATGAGGAAGGTGAGGAAGGCTAAGATTGGGATTGTGTGATTATGAAACAAGAGATGTCTCTTGCTGCCCACCACCCCTCCGTTGTCGTGGGTTGAGATTGAGATGGAAACATGAGGCAACATTCGTCGACTAGCGCAGCAAGGAAAGTACGAGCAGATTGTGAATGAATACAGTGTGCAAAAGAGCCGACCGTGTATAGGCCGTAATACAGCAAGAGATCCGGTCCCCTCGATCCTGCGAGTCTGTCGCCATATGAGAAAAGCCTTTCCTTCACTACCTACCCACTTTACTGTTCCAGCCCAGCCGTCCCTCCTGGTCAGAGTCAGACCGCTGGGACTGGCAGCCCTACCTACCGACTAAGCCTTCTCAGCGACAAGATCGCCCTCGGCATCACGCTCAAACACACAATTCAACTCCGCCGCGGGCGTCAGCGTGACCTCGAACTTCAACGGCGGGTCGACGACCTGGTCCATGCCGCGCGCGGGCAGCGCCCGGATGGCGCGGTAGGCCTGCAGGATGCGGACGACGGTGTAGCCCATCTCGATGGTGGCGAACTGCTGGCCGAGGCAGATGCGCGGCCCGCCGTTGAAGGGGATGAAGTGCCATGGCTTGGGCTGCCAGCCGGACAGCCAGCGCTCGGGGGTCCACTGCGCCGGGTCGCAGTACCCGGGGCTGCCGGGCGGCGGATAGTTCTCGGGGGCGCGCTGCATGAGGATGGTGGAGTAGATGACGCGGGTGTTGGCGCGGATGCCGACGGGGGACAGGCCGTCGGGCCCGCCGCCCCGCGGCAGCGAGGTGTTCTGCAGCGACGAGCGCACGTTGAACGGCACCACCGGGTACAGCCGCATGGTCTCGTTGAGCACCGCATTCAGGTACTTCATCTCCTTCAGGTCCAGGTAGCTGGGTTTGCGGCCGTCCGGGCCGAGACCCAGGCGCGTCTTGATCTCGGCGCGCAGCCGGGCGACGACGGCCGGGTGGCGCGCCAGCTCGAAGAGACAGAAAGACAGCGTCGCGGCGGTCGTGTCGCGGCCGGCTAGCAGGATCGCCACGAGCTGATCGCGGAGGACCTGCGGATCGCGGGTGAAGCGGGCGAGCGCGTCGAGGAAGGTGTCCTTACTCGAGAGCTTCTGGTCGAGTTCTTCCGGGGTCAGAGCCAGGACTCGTTCGATGTAGGGTCGCATGAATTCATCCATGATGCGGAGGTTCCTGCGGAACTCCTTGCGCGGGATGAGGAAGTTGAAGGGACTGGGGTTTGAGGGGGATGTTAGTCGTGTTGCTGCTGGCTAGTGGTGGCGATCAATGGGCCATACATACCCCGTTCGAAAGATATCAGCCTGGCAACGCTGCACGTAACGGAAAGCCTCGGCAAAGACGGCGGTCGGGTTGTGAAGACTGTTGGTTCCCTGACCGAGAAGGTAGTCTGTCGCAGCGTCCAAAGTGTACCTGAAGAACAAAGGAGTAACATCAACAACCTTGCTCTCCCGGGCGGAGGGGCCCCCCGCCAGAAGGGGAATCAGCTTCTGGACATGTTTCTCGAAGAGCTCGGTGTCGACGATGCGCTCGCGAACGAACATGGGACGGATCAGATGCCTGGAGCGAGACCACAGCTCGCCGTCGGTCGCGAAGATACTGTCTCCTAGGAACTCCTTCCAATCACGGTGAAACTGCTCCCCCTTGCCATAGTCGGCGAACTGGCCGGTGAGTAGGGCTTTAATGTTCTCAGGGTCTAGTGTGAAGATCACCCGGTTGGAGATTCCGGAGTCAATCTCCACTGTCTGTGGGAATGCCACCCCTGACGCGCCTTTGGCGTTTCTGACCGTGTTGCCCCAGAACTCCAAGTCTTTAAACTTGGTACTGGCAGCCAAGGCTCTATATATGTGATCAATGGCTTCGATGTGAACCTGTCAGTCTTCTCTCACTACAGAGGATGCTACAATGCAGGTACGCACCATATGGCAACCTGAGCGGCACTCGAGGGGCCCTGCAACCAAGTCGCGAGATCTCGAGGGAGACCTGGACTTTGCGAAGCAGGCCTGCAATGAAAAGCACCCCCAAGAGGCATAGTGCTGCCTTGCCTGCGGTCATCTGGGCTAGGGTTTCCTCAATCATGATCGATGCGCGGGAGTTGACGGCTTTGTCGCTGGGATAAGGTCAAGAGGAGGCTGGCATGCGTTGGCAGTGACAGCAGGGCAATATAAAGATTTAATTGCCATGAGGGCCGGGCGCGGAGTCAGGGAATCATTATAATTGCAACCACCGGATCTGGCATGGAAATGTGCAGACATGGTTCTGCGACGGCGATCACTCGTTAGTTGGTGTACGGGCAAGTCTACGTCTTAGCGCGATTCCTGTTTGAGAAATGCTTGCGAACCCCGCGTGTTGAAGCCGATGGGCTCAGGGCTTCATAGCCGTGGCCGAGGCATACTCGATCACAAGCTCCACTGCTCAGTCGGTTGGTCTCCTGGGTGGATTTCGAGACCTAGGCGCGATAGCGAAAAGCACTACAGAGACAGCAGCATGGTGTGACATCCCAAGTCCGACTGGCTGTCTGAACATGTCAGCAGGACTTCTTCTTTGGAAATCGAATACTAACATGACGAGAAGTGGCCATTTTGCAGCGTCTAGCATTAAAGTAAGAGTGTGAAGTGCCAAGTACCCCGGATCAACAGGGAGGCCAGTGATTTACGTAGAACTTAGAGGATGTCCTTAACTTAAGTACTCCGTATAGTATGGGGTGTTAAGGCACCTCCTGCCCAAAGGGGATGTGGTCAGTGGCCAGTTGGCGCAGGCCTATCAGTAAGCTGCTGCGCCACCGCGCCCATCATCCCATTCTGCATCCACGTGACTCAACTGTGGCTGGGGCGAGTGTTCTCGGCGGTGGTGGTTGTCTTTCATCATCAGCCCGCAATGAAAGTTCCTGCGGTCAAGCCACCATCCCAACTTATCACTACCTACTTTTTGTCTCTATTCTTATCTCTTTCATACCTAGAATCCCTCGAATTCTCACTAAAGACACAAATACTTAGCGAGTTTTCTTCAACACAGTCAGCGTGGCTACGCGCGCCCTGTCAATCCAGCAGTGCGGCATTTAGCACTTATCAAGCCTCTCTTTTCTCCCTCCCTCCCTCCCTCCCTCCTTGCCACACCATACCTGACTCGCTTTCACTGCGCACTTCATCATGACGACGATGGTTGCAGCAGGCACTCCGCTCGCGGAAGCCTTGAGCAATGTCATCCCTCCGAAATTGGTCGAGATGGGTTGGAGTTCCGATGGCGACGACTCGGCCCTGATCGAATATGTGATTCTGATGTTGGTCAACGGCAAGACCCAGGAGCAGATCGCCGGCGAACTTTCCAACGATCTCCTTGGCCTTGGTGAAGGTGATACTCAGGCTCTCGAGTTCTCACGGTGGTTGTTCGAACAGGTGGAGATCCTCAACCAACAGATCAATGGTGGCGGCGCCCCGGCCTTGAGCGACCCGACTTCTGCGCAAGCAATTCCTTCGTTTGCAGAGCAGGAGGCGGCTGTTCCTCAGCCGGTCGGGCTTGACAACAACGCGCAAGACGATGCAGACATGGCTATGGGTGACGACGGAACCTTGGCAGGCGACTCTATGTAAGTGTCTTTGTTATCGCTGTCCCGCCACAGGAATCTGGCTAACAGGAATCTCGAAGACCAACGGGCCCGAAGGCAATGCGCAATGGGCGCCCCGGTGGAAGAGGGCGGATGCTCAACCAAATAAACAGGGCTATGGATCGCGGCGATCGTGGCGACTCGACTCTTCATCGTGTTCGTGGACCTGGTGGCGGACGGATCAACTCTCATGGTCAGAACAATGGAAAGGGTCGGTTCAACCAAAATGGTGGAGGAAGGATGCAGGGCGGCCGTCAGATGAACATGGGACAGATGATGAACATGAGTCAGAACGATCAGATGCAGTTGATGTCTCTTCTAGAAGAGCAGGCACGGATGATGGCGCAACTCATGCCTGGCTTCGTCTCCCCCGCAATCAACCCGGCCTTTCAGCAAAATGGTTCCCAGCAGGGCCGCTCATTATTCGATCGCGTGGAACGCCAACACGGCCACCGGCATCAACGCAACCAGCGCAACAATCGCACAAACGAACATGATAACGACACCGATATGGACATGAAGCCTCAAGGGGAGCAGGATGAGAGCAATACCGATACTGTTTGCCGATTCAACTTTCGATGCACGCGAAGGGACTGTCCTTTCGCCCACCAGTCCCCAGCAGCACCTGAAGGCAGCCCGGTCGACATCGCGGACCCTTGTCCGTATGGAGCGGCATGCAAGAATCGCAAGTGCACAGGACGTCATCCTTCTCCAGCTGTCAAGTCCGCGCACCAGGCCGAGGAGATGTGCAGGTTCTTCCCCAACTGTGCCAATCCCAACTGCCACTTCAAGCACCCTTCCATGCCGTTATGTCGCAATGGTGCCGACTGCACCACCGAAGGCTGCAAGTTCACACATCTCCAAACGGCTTGCAAGTTCAATCCCTGTCTCAACCCGAGCTGCCCCTATAAGCATGCTGAGGGCCAAAAGGGTGCCTTCTCCGATAAAGTTTGGACTTCCGGCTCCGGCAAACCCCACGTGAGCGAGCGAAAATTCGTGACGGATGAAGATGGGCAGGAGGAACTGATCAAGCCGGGCGCTACGGACGGCTCGCAGAGCCAGGAGATTGTGACATGATGTGGCTTGCGTGCTTTGATGATTGCTTGCACTGCATATGATCCCTCCTCACAGTCCTCAGTTCGACATGTACTATGTCCGTGTGAAGGGTGGTTCACGGCGGGGAAGGGCGTTTAAGTTTGCTTTCGATATTATGACAGAATCACCTACTGGTTTGTAAATAGAATGGGGATATCATGGACGTTTCTCATACGGCGTTTTCCATAAAAGGACAATATGACACTGCTTGTAGTAACATGATATGACACTTACTTCAATTCTCTATCAAAATGGTCATACTTTCTTTCGTACCTTTGTAACCAATATCGAAGAGTGGAGATTTCACTATAATGCTAGAGCGCTACTTGTTATTTGGTTCTAGCACTATGGGTGTGCCCTGGGCTACGCAACTACGAACAGGGGTATTAGGGCCAACTATAGTACTACAGCAAGTCCAGTGTGATCTTTAACCCACCGCCTTGTCCTAGAAGGGATTTACCGCCCATCCCGTGCGGGGATACTGCCAGCTCCAATTCCAACCTCTCCATATGACCCCAATTGTTCTTCCTCGTCCCCAATCTCGGCATCATCTCCTTCAGCTTTGCCCTCACTCGAGATGCGGCTAGCATTCCACTCAAAAGTCGCACTCAGAGTGGCGCGGGCGCCATTGGTGCGCAATGGCAATGGGAATCGTTGCCTGCATACCAAGCGGTATAATGCTGCCGTCATTGGCGGTGGCATCACCGGCCTTACAGCAGCCTACCGGCTGATGCGAGATCCAGCATGCAAAAAGGTCACGCTCTACGAGTCACAGCCCCGTCTCGGCGGGTGGATGCAATCAGATAAGGTGACGCTCGACTCCGCGGATTCGGGGGTAGGGGACCTCATTCTCGAACGCGGCCCGCGGACCTTACGAGCAGGATTTCCGACATGTCTTCCTCTCCTTGACATGGTATGCTGACTACCGCATTCGCTTCCATACCAAAGCCACACCCATCTAATGCGCGAGGCAGATGTCTGAGCTAGACTTGCTTGATGATGTAGTCGTGACCGCGAAATCCTCCCCGGCCGCCACCAACCGTTATATCTACTATCCTGATCATTTGGTGCGCATTCCACAACCGCGCCCCGACCAGAGCTTGTTCGAGAATATTTCGGAACTATGGAACACGGTGACCAAGGAGCCCTTGTTCGATGGTGTCGCCAAGGATATTTTTCATGAGTACTGGGATCCTGCACCCGGGTCCGATCAACGTGACGAATCGATCGCGGACTTCATCTCGCGTCGTTTCGGCGCGAAGGTGGCGGACAACTTGGTCTCTGCGGTCATGGCTGGCATCTTTGCAGGTGATATCGATCGTCTCAGTGCGCGCACATTGATGGGCACACTCCGTATGCGGGAAGGGCACGGAAGCATCTTGAAAGAAATGCTACTGGACCAGCTGGCTGGACGGAGTTACTGGAAGATGGATGATCTTTTGGCCTTGCAGTCTGTGGGAGCCAAAGAAGACCTTGAGTACTGGAAATCCCTCAAATCGCTGCTCAGCGGTGCTAGTGTGTTCACCCTGAAGCAGGGCCTTGAACAACTTCCCCGCGCCATCGCCAAACAGTTGGAGGAGTCCGAGAAGGCTGAGGTCATTACTTCGGCTAACATACGATATATGATGCACGATTCTAGCACGGACAACATCATGGTAAGGAGCTGGCCCCGTGTTGTGTGGCATTTGGCCGAGTAAAGCTGATGCGGTTCTAGATCAATCTTGGAACAGAGGGTCCTCAATTATACCACCGAGTGATCTCTACCATCAAACCGCTCCAGATGGCAAAAATGGCTCCTCAGTGGATGGCGAAAAGCCGGTTCTACCCTACTGAATCCGTCAAGCATTTTCAGGCCGACGAAAACAACTATGCCGTGACGGTCATGGTGGTCAACTTATATTACAAGGCCGAAGACGACTTGGACATACCTAGGGGGTTCGGGTACCTCATCCCACGGAGTGTCGCCTATGAACAGAACCCTGAGTTGGCCCTGGGGGTCATCTTCGGAAACGAAACTTCCGTGGGCCAAGATACTGCCGGTAATACCAAATTGACCGTAATGCTCGGCGGCCACTGGTGGGACGGCCTGCCAAAGTCGAATTTACCAAACCACGACCAGGCCTGCAGCCTTGCACGTGCTGTACTTCAGAGGCACCTCAAGATCACCGCCGAGCCGCTCGAGGCGAAGAGCTACCTCCACGTCGATGCCATCCCGCAGTATACTGTTGGCCATCTTGAGCGCATGCATGCCCTCTCCGGAGCGGTCCGGAAGGAGTTCCACAACCGGCTGACGCTTGCTGGCTCGTGGTACGGGACTAGCGGGAATGGTGTCCTGGACTGTGTGCGACAGGGCTATCTGGCCGCTTCCTATGGGGTGGGCCGGAAACTCACGGTCGGCCGGGGGTTGAGCCCCTGGCAAGGCTATGACTACGAAAACTGGGAGCTAGAGGGCGGCATCGTGACTTCACCCGTGCGATTCGCCGACATTGGGAAATCGGAGCGCCGACTACTTTGATGCCCTCCATTATCCGCTGTTGCATGCTACCATGTCGGATCGTGACCGCTTACTGAGGCTCAAGGCTGATCTGATAGTGACAGATATCCACACGGCTCATGTGGAGGTATATAGACTTCCGGTAAACAGACCAGCAAGTTCAATTTGGATACAAGATGTGAACGGGGACGGTAGGGACTAGATATGCTTTGTAATAATACATCGTGCAGCTCCCCCCGGGACCGACATGAGCAGTGATCATCCGCGAGAGCGATGTCTGTCTCGAAAAGCCGTGGGAGATTGTTCATGCAAGCCGACGAGCCCGGAGGAAATTCCGTGATGGTATGATCCTCACACTCCCAAGCGAGGAGTCGGCAGAGCGGACATCGGTCAAGCTTGAGTTTGGTTCAGCTGCAGTGTGACGCCACATCGGCATTTGTGGAAGGCGGCCATAGACAACTCTTATGGGTCCCTCATTCGGAGGTATGCACCGCGATCGTGGTACTTGGTGACAAGTAGCTCAACGTGTCGAGGTCTGGTGAGTCTGATAACATCAATCGCCATAAAGCGTCCTTCAGACCTTCTCACTTTCCGCGCCCTTCTCTTCTGCAGAAGCGTCTTTCTTGTCCCCATTGGCATCAAAGCCCAGCGCATCGAGCTGGCGAACGAGTTCCTGGATCTTGATGACCTTTTCGAGCTGTTCGGGGAGCAGAGCCTCGCCTTGGTTCTTCTTGTCGCGCAGATCGCGGGCCTGCCTCAACTTCTTCTTCAAGTTGCGGGCCTTCTTCTCATTCTCCGCTTCGGGATCCAGCGCCTGCTCCTCGGTCGGCTTGCCCTCCGCTTCCTTCTTCGCGCCGCCGTTGGGTGCCGCCGCAGCAGTGCGCCAGTTGTCAATCTGCGTCAGGTCCTTGGCTGCGCCTGGTGCATCCTGGGTGGCCTTGGCCTTCTTCCGCGCCTCTCGACGTTTGGCGTTCTTGTTGCTGGCTGCGGTGCCCGGTTTGTTGGCGTCGGGATCCTCGACCGGCTTGAGGCCTTCGGCGCCCGGCACACCGCCGCCGGTCTTGCCGCGGTTCTTCCAGGCTTCGGCCGCGCGGTTCTTGTAGAGTTCGACATCCTCGGGGGGACGGTAGCCCGGTCGGACGCGGATCTCGCGACGCTTGGACCCGTCTGCACGGGTTGAGGAGGGGATGAAGCGCTCTCCGGTGGCTTCGTTGGTGGCGATACCAGACGAGGTGACCCCTCCGTTCTTGTTGGTTGCCATTTTTTGTGGAAGGTTGGCGGGGGGAGAGTGGATGGTGGATGGCTGAGGGTTAGGAGCGGAGTCACGAAGATTCTCAGACCCTCAGACCAATGAAGGTGGTGGGTGGAAAGAGCAAGGGGTCTGTCTGAAGGAGTGCTAGATACAAATGAGTAATGTCCCTAGATGTTTGACAATTTGAGGGTGGAGGGCGGGATGTTGAGACGATGCCCGAATTGAATTAAGTTAGTGTAGATGAAAAGAAGTGGAATAAGATGAACATGGATGAATTCATCCGTGACGGGCGGGAGAGGCTCTGGGCCAACTGGTTGGGAGGCGCCGATCCGACTGGCCAATCAGGGCGCCGGTGTTTCCCGCTGCTGCTTTTCGTCTGAACTTATCCGAACGTTGAACGGCGATTCTTCCAACCTCATTCCCTCCCCGTTACGCTGTTTCCCCCCGTTTCGCTCTTCTCTCGCTTCCACCCCCGTTCCATTTACAATCCAGCACAATGGCCGGCGCTGTAAGTGTCTTCCGCAACTGGGTCGCCAGGACCGCTGCTCCTGGTGCCTGTGGTTCACTGGGCTAACTGCAGGATGTCTCCGGATCCAGTTCACTACCACTCTCTACCGGTACGTCTCCTCCCTCTCGGACCCTCAATTGAGACCCTGCTAACCACAATTGATTGCCATAGGAGTCTGTTCCAGCGCAACGCTGTCTACTTGACTGCCATCTTCACCAGTGCCTTCGCTTTCGAGCTGTACGTCTAGCCTCACTCTCCCGGCCTCCCCTCCCGGTGGGAGACAACTGTCGCAGGAACAAAGCACGGGCTAATCCCGACTCCTTCGGAACAGGGCTTTCGACACCGCTTCCAACCGCGTCTGGGACGGTTTCAACCGCGGCGTATGTTCTTCCCTGCAGACCCCTTCCGGATATGAGGTTCTTACTGACGGGTTGCTCTCCGATTCGCGCCCACAGCGTCAATGGAAGGACATCAAGCACCGCTACATCAACCAGGCCGACGACGAGGATGACGAGTAAATATGACGATCCTATCGAGTGTTTTGTGCCGCGATTGTGAGGTGGTGGTGGTGGTGGGATAGACCAAGTGCTGGAGGGTAGAGATATCCATTCCCATGTTATTTTACCGAGATCGGAGGAAAGGGGAATTGGGATCCTCCACGGTGTTTGTTTCCTGTACGAGATAGTCCTTTTTTATTTCTGGAAGAATGAGCTGTACTACTGCGTGCATTTCCCTTAGAATCCGACGCTGCCCGGTAAGGTAAAAGAAAGGGACGCTGCGGTCAAGTCGCGCCAAGCCGCATTTGGTCTGTAGAATCAACACGATGTCATGCTTTTCCCCTCCTTCCTCCGAACACAACGCATTCTCACCAAAAACACCTCTTTCACTTTCTTTTGTTCTTCGTTTAGCTTCTACTCTTTGCCTGTTGTGAATCTGGACCGGAAGATCATATTCTAGCAGGCGTTGAATTAAAGTCTCAATAAGTCGTTGTTTCTGGACTAATCCAAGCGGAGCCAACAGCTCTTCCCCACCAAACTGTGACATCGAACTCGCTACTTTCACTCCTACTACTCCTACTACTACTACTAAAGTCATTCCCTCATTAACCACTTGCTATCTCAACGATAACCAAGCGACCCTCTTTGAATCCCCCAAACTTCCCCAACCCCACTCCATCTTTCAAAAGTTCGTTGTCGTTCTTCTGGTTCTATTGCCGTTCTTCTTGTCTTATCCAGCCATTCTCAACATCCACGGCCCTGTGTTATCGGCGCCCGACTAAAGTTGAGCTCGCAGATTTATAAGCCCGCCACCAACAAAACCGAGAGGGAAAAAAACAGCCCACACTTGAGCTCTCGTCTCAGACAACTTTCGTACCCCCCCGTCAATTTCCGTTACCCTTTCTACTCCTTATATCGAGAGCCGAATGGGTGTCGCGCTCGCCGTGCAACAGCGATAAATGATGCTCACGGAATGTGAGAGGTTTCTCAGCGAACGCCTCCTGCGGCTTCCCGCCGACCACAACAACCGCTATGGACCCCAAGCCGAGAAAGAGCTTCTCGAGGTGCTCTTCCGCTCGCTGACCGGCCAGAATGAGGGATACCTTCGACAGTTATTCCCCAACGGCCTGCCGTCCGGCCCTTGGAAGCTGGCAGAGGCCCAGGGCGCCGAGGAAGGTGCGGAGTATACCGAGGCGGCGCGGGGCAAGCGCTGCGGCCATATCTTCAGGGCCGGCGAGGCCACCTACCGCTGCATCACCTGCGCCATGGACGACACCTGCGTGCTGTGCAGCCGGTGCTTCGACTCCTCCGACCACACCGGCCACCAGTACCAGATCTCGCTGTCGTCGGGCAACTGCGGCTGCTGTGACTGTGGAGACGAGGAGGCCTGGCGCCTGCCGTTGTTCTGTGCGATCCATACCGACAGCGAGGACAAGAAGAAGGGGAAGCAGAGGGCCCAGTCGCAACTGCCGCCGGACTGGGTGAAGGCCATCCGGCTCACCATCTCTCGCGCCCTGGACTATTTCTGCGACGTCATCTCCTGCTCGCCCGAACAGCTGCGACTGCCCAAGACTGAAGAAGGGATCAAGAAGGACGAGGAAGCGTCCCGGCTGCGTCCGGGCTGGTACGGGCCCGGTGACGAAGCGGAGGAGGAACCCGAGTACGCCCTCGCCCTCTGGAACGATGAGAAGCACACCATCAAGGACGTCGCCACGCAAGTCACGCGAGCTTGTCGGGAGACGAATCGCTTTGGCTTCGAGCGTGCCCACGAGACCAATGACATCGGACGCAGTGTGGTCAAGTATTCCCGGGACCTGCCGCGACTGCTGGACGTGTCCAAGATCATCGAGCACATCAGGGTCACCGTCACTATCCGATCCGCCCGCGATACGTTCCGCGAGCAGATGTGCGCGACCATCGTCGAGTGGCTGCTGGATATTTCTGGATGTAGCGTCGGAGACGATAACGAGATTCTGCGTCACATCATCTGTGAAGAACTGCTTACGCCATGGAGGCGTGGTAGCGGTGCCTACAATGCGGACATCGGGTTGAAAGGCATCGATGACCACCAACAGGACGAGGCGTCCCCGTGGCGCACGGTCATGCTCACGATATCCCCCCAAGTCAACGTTGTACTGGCCGCAGCTGGCGATGACGATGACGATGATGAGGATGTCAATTCGGGCAACGAGCAGGAAGGTGTCAATGACGAGGAGGAGGCCGAAGAATTCGAAGAGTACCTGCGTGCAGCGGGCGAGACCAACGAAGACGAAGATGATGATGACATGGAACTCGAATTGAACCGACTCCGGGATGAGGTAGACGACGATAATGATATGGTTATGGGCGACGCGGATGACGCTCTGGACATCGCTCAGACCATCCTAGGACTCGCCCAGCGGGAACAACAGCGGGAGCAACAGCGCGCCCGGCAGCAGCAGCAGCAGCAGCAGCAGCAAGATGAACAGGGAGAGCAGCAGTCACAGGAGGCGCAAGAAGGGGTGCAGAACCGGTCGAACCAGGAGGGTTCGCAACCCGCCGTCAACGAGCAGGCCCCCAATGAACAGCACGAGCGGCCGCCGACTTCCCTTGTTCCTATCCCTAAGACACCGTCAGGGGTGGTTCGACCATCGCCGGCGAAAACGCCTATTCATTGGCAGTATCGATCCCATGCTGCAGGGGAAGGGCAGGGTGTGCCGGTTTACGAGGACTTGTCGCAGCGCACTCGTCTCGACTGGATGATTCTCTATGATCTCCGCCTCTGGAAAAAAACTCGTACCGAACTCCGCGATCTCTATATCGGCACCGTTGTCAATGTTCCTCAATTCAAGCGGATCATGGGTCTGCGCCTGTCAGCCCTCTACACGGCGCTCGCGCAGTTGTACCTGATTGCAGACAGAGAGCCCGACCACTCCATTGTCAACCTCTCCTTGCAGCTTCTGACCACCCCGTCAATTACGGAAGAGATTCTCCTGCGTGGAAACTTTTTGACCAAGGTCATGGCCATATTGTACACGTTTCTTACGACTAGGCAGGTTGGTGAACCTTATGAAGTCAATCCCAACGCCACCCTGGCATTCGACGCTGGGTCCGTGACCAACAGGCGTCTGTACCATTTCTTCTTGGATCTGCGGTACCTGCTGCAATCCGAATACGTCCAGAATCGCGTGCGCGCGGAAGAACAGTACCTGTCTCAGTTCCTGGATCTTGTCAAGCTCTCGCAAGGCATATGCCCCAATGTGCGTGCTGTAGGGGAGCATGTTGAGTACGAGACCGACGCTTGGATCAGCGCGTCAGTCCTCATGCGAGAGATCAATCGGCTCTGTCGCCAATTCTGCGAGGCCTTCCGTAACCCCGAGATCGATGGAGGTGCAAAGCTGCTGCGAGCCATCCGATCAGCCACCATCTCTGCCGTGGCTCACTCATACGGATTGGAGCTCAAGCGTTTCAGCCAGGCCGAGATCAAGGATTACGTGTCTTTCAAAACTCTGCCTCCCTTTGATTTTGAGGTCAACCAGGAACATGTTCCACGATACCGGGTTGTAGACTTCGTCGTCGAACGTGGCTGGATGAGTTTCCATCATGCGCTCCATTACACGCTGTCCTGGTTGCTGGAGTGTGGTCGTAATGTAAGCGGCGCCGTCATGCGCGATGTGCTCATGGACGCTGCACAAGCGGCAAATGACCAATACATCCACGACTCACAGCTGAACTCCGAAGATTTGCTCCTGGCAATGTTCGATTATCCCCTCAGAGTTTGCGCCTGGCTGGCACAGATGAAGGCTGGCATGTGGGTTCGCAACGGTCTCAGCCTTCGGCATCAGATGTCACAGTACCGGGGAGTCTCATCCCGCGACTTTGCGTATTATCGCGACATCTTCTTGCTTCAGACTGCCATGGTCACCTGCGATCCCAGTCGGGTCCTTGCCTCCATCGCGGAACGTTTCGGCATGGTGGACTGGATGAACCGTGATTACAGCCCTCGGAGCGTCTACGAGGACAATCAGATCGTCGACGTGGCCGAGGAGTTTGTCCACCTCTTGATTACCCTACTGACGGACCGTACCTCGCTCACCGCCATCGACGACAGCGACAGTGCGACTCGGGAGAGCATCATTCGTGATATCGCGCATGTCCTTTGCTTCAGGCCGCTATCCTTCTCCGACCTGTCCACACGCCTCAGCGACAAGCCCCTGGACTCGGATATGTTCCAGGATGTGCTCGAGGAGGTTGCGAGATTCCGGGCACCAGAGGGGTTGAATGATACGGGTACCTTCGAGTTGAAGCCGGAGTATCTTGACCTTATTGATCCGTATAGCGCTCATTACACCAAGAATCAACGGGATGAAGCGGAGAACATTTATAGAAACTGGGTGGCCAAGAAAACTGGCAAGAAGGCGGATGACGTGGTGTTTGAGCCCAAATTACGTCCCATCACCACCGGAGCTTTCTCCGAGCTCCATCGCTTCACCCGGACAATGGTCTTCGCTCAGCTTGTGCACCATTGTCTGGATTTTGTGGTGTCGTTCAAGGAGCGTACTCCGCATATCCAACCTACTCGGATTGAGACTTTCCTTCAGGTGGTCCTGCATCTGATTCTCGCCGCCTCGCTGGATGATAAGAGCGATGAGGATGAAATGTCCGACGGCTCGCCGGCATCCTTCATTTCCCACGCTCTGAACAAGGTTCGACACTCGACGCAGGCTGGTCCAGTGACTATTGTGGGTCTCCTTGAGAAGATTTCCGTGGAGAACGATTTCAAATCGTGCGGAGCCAAGATCCGGCATATTCTGAAGCAATTCTGGCAAAAGCGTCCCGAGGCGTATGCCTCAGCCACCGCTTCGCTGAAGTTCCCCTTTGACAGGGTTGATACCAGCACTCCTGCTATTGACAATGACCTTGAAAAGGAGACCAAGAAGAAGCAGGCTTTAGAAAGGCAGGCCCGGGTCATGGCCCAGTTCCAGCAGCAACAGCAGAACTTCCTCAATAGCCAAGGCGAATTTGACTGGGGTGAAGAAGACTTTAGTGATCCTGAGTCGGAACCCGAGACTGCGCCGGAGACTAAGCTGTGGAAGTATCCTAGTGGCACGTGCATCCTGTGTCAGGAGGAGACCAACGACTCGCGACTCTACGGCACGTTTGCCCTAATCCAGGATAGCACCATCCTACGTTGTACTGATGTATCGGACGCGGACTGGGTGCGGGAGGTGATCCGGACACCGGCGAGCCTGGACAAGTCGGCTGACCATCTTCGTCCTTTTGGAGTTGCTGGTGAAAATCGCACGACCGTCCGCCGACTGGACTCGACGGGTGGCGAAGTCATCAGCGAGAAGGTAGGACTCAGCAAAGGCTTCAAGGCCCACAACACGAATCCGGGGCCGGTGACGACCGGCTGTGGCCATATCATGCATTACCACTGCTTCGAGGTCTACCTCACTGCTACTGGTCGTCGTCACCATCAACAAGTCGCTCGCGCCCACCCGGAGTCGCTGGCGCGCAAGGAGTTCGTCTGCCCTCTCTGCAAGGCTCTCGGCAACGCCTTCCTTCCCATTGTCTGGAAGGGTAAGGAAGAGTCGTACCCGGGAGCCTTGAGTACCGCTGTCTCGTTTGATGAGTTCATCAATGTGGAGCTAAAGTCGATTCTCTCGCAGCCCCGCAACTACGCATTGCTTGCGGAGAGCAACAGCAATCCGCAGACTCTGGCGTACCAGGAACTCTTTGTGAATTATCTGTCCAAGACATTGGTCCCACCGCTCGCTTCGAAATTGGGCAACCTCCCATCCTCTCCCTCCTTCCCGTCTCCTCTTTCCAGGCCTACGGTCAGAGCACCAATGCCTGGTCTCTTCCCTGCGGAGGACCCTTCTGCCACGAGCCCGCTCCAGGCGACCTTCAGTCCGATCGAGAACCCTCTTTCCGAATTGCTGCAGATCTACCAGAGGCTGAAGCAGACTTTGCGGGTCAATCGCATCCCATCCACGTTCAACCATGTTCCTGGTACGCTGGAAAGCAGTGATCTGGTGCATACCGACTCGCTGTTCCAGAGCCTTGGCTACAGCATTTCGGCGGTGGAGATAGCGCAGCGGGGTGTGGCATCGGAACCGGGCTTGACCCTGCTGGGCAAGATCCCTCAGCTGACACTGACGCATCTCCGCATCCTCGCGGAGACGGCCTTCTCGTACGCGGCGGTCGGTTCACTACAGCATGGCGATAGCCCGCATAACCTCAGCGCGGACGAGGTGCACGAAACGCATCGGCAGAAGATATGTCAGCTGTTCATTGGTCACCCCTACTTGAGTGGCACACCTCTCTTGAGGGAGAGGCGCGAGATTGAACCGCTCTTGGGCAAGGATGCGTTTGTATTCTTGGCCGAGTGTTCGGTTTCGCTGCTGTCGACCGTTCCCATTGATATGCGCCATTTGATCCAGATGTGTTATGTGGCCGAAATCGTCAAGGTCGCCATCACCTACATTCTCTGGCCTTCGGGGCTGCAGGAAGAGGTGGTTCAGCATGGTGATGCCAACTACATGCCGGCGCTTGATGAGACGGACCCCCGGGCCGACTTGAGTCGGCATTTCTTCAACTCCATCGTCACCGAGCTGAGGACCAACATCGGACAGGAGGAAGTCGCCTCGTTCCCGACCGAGGGTAACTACGTGGCGGACGGAAGCGCCGTGCCGCCGCGGGTGGTGATGACGCTACGCCGGCTCATTTCACGTTATGCCTTGACCTTCCTTCGCAAGGTGGTCATTCTTCTCCACGTCCAGCACGGGGTCGAGTTCCCCAACACGGGGTTGAACGACGTTGACGCCCCAGAGCTTGACCGCTTGACCAAGATCTTACATCTGCCGTCTCTCGACGAGATCTTCGGGTCTGTCAACGCTTCGCGCAACCGCGGCAGTGTGTTCGACTCGGTCATCTCGGGCTGGATTCACCACTGGAATGTGTCGCGGCCCGGGCTGACGTTCGGCTACCACACGCTGTGGCCGAGCCTCCCTCACCCGGGGATTTTCGAGCTGGTCGGGCTGCCCAAGTATTATGATAGTCTGATCGACGAGGCCAACCGGCGGCGGTGCCCGAACTCGAAGAAGGAGCTGACCGATCCCTGCATCTGCCTGTTCTGTGGTGACATCTTCTGCTCGCAGGCCGTGTGTTGCATGGACAAGAGCCAGAACCTGGGCGGATGCAACCAACATGTTTACAAGTGAGTCTATCCTTACCTTCTCCCTTTCTCTCTTTTCTCTTCTCTCTGCTTTTACTCTACTTTCGCGCTGCTTTCTAAACTAACGGTCTACCAGATGTGGTAAATACATCGGCCTCTTCCTCAACATCCGCAAGTGTATGGTGATCTACCTACACAACCGCAGCGGATCCTGGCACAACGCGCCGTACCTGGACCGCCACGGCGAAGTGGACCCGGGCCTCCGGCGTAACCGTCAATTGATCCTGAATCAGAAACGCTACGATCGACTGGTCCGCGACGTGTGGCTTTCGCATGGGATTCCGACGATGATCAGCCGGAAACTGGAAGCGGATATCAACAATGGGGGCTGGGAGACGATGTAAAGCGATGATTTGATGCAATCGATGTATTAAGGGGAGTGATGTATTAAGGGAGTGATTGGTGCGATGCGGATAAAGTGTGATTTATGTGACTTATGGTGTTTTTCCTCTTGAAAGCGTTGCGCTGATGGTGATGGTGATGGACTAAGCTGGTGCCGTCCCATATGCATGAAACTTTTTCCTGTGGATGTGTGGTGTTTTGTTGTTGCTTGGGGGAAAAGTTTGCGATGGTGGGTGCTGGGGGGAAATAAGACAAATAGCATCTTGCTGGGTATTTACCAGACTGGATTGTTGAGTAACCAGGTTTATGCGGTTGTACGTAAGGTGATCTACGGAATACTCAGGATGAGTAAGTCGCATTGAAAGCAGTCCACCTGGCAGTCTGTTCTTTATCCATTTCCGGGCCTACGGTCAGAACGCGACTCTGGGAGTGTTGGAGATTCAGTTACCACTCCTCAGTGTCCTCACCCCAATCAGTTTAGTAAGAAGATTGATTGCAATGTCCTCCCCTTTTTTTTTTCCTTTTTTTTTTTTTAGTTTCTGTCTGCAATAATGCAATGCAATGCAAAAAAAAAGTGATTGACATCTCCTAATCAGAATCCGATGCCGGAAACCTAAGTTGAATCGCGGGGCCACCCCATCTGGGAGCAAATTCCCCACCGCCCAAAGTCCAGACAGTCTTGCATCCTTGGTTCGGGCGATGACTCTCGCATGTAATACATGTTTTGTTCTGGGGGGAGATGTTGGATCCATGGATCGAGGGCACAAACAATAATAACAATGAGTAACTGGTTTCTGGGCAGGGGGTGCTTTCTTTGCATTGTGTTTCAGGTTTGGATTGTTGTTGGATTGTTGGAGGGTTGGAATACCATTGTAAGAACTTGTTACAGGACAATGGACTTTGTATGGATGGGCTTTTGTTTCAGTTTCATGGACTGGACTGGACTGTGGTTACTCTAGTTACTCTAGTGACAGGAATTTGTATCAATCATCAGGATGGAATAAACTGGAACTGTAGTGCAATACAAAAAGCAAACTGGTATCAAGTGTTGTAAAAGTGTAAACGGTAAAACGGTAAGAACGGTAAAACGATATCATCATGATAACAAGACCGCTTTCTCGGAGGAAGGATGTTTTTCCCCCTGGAGGCAAAAAAGGCAGGCAAAGGCGAATGGCAAGCAAAGACAAAGGCAAGAGGCAAAAGGCAAAGGCAAATCCACCCCACCTCCAAGCCAGTCAGTCAGTCAGCCAGAGGCCTCGGGCTTTCAAGCAATATACGCCTTGCCGGAGGCACTCAACCCGTCCCCATTCAGCAGGTAGCCCTCGGCGCACATGAAATACGCGTAGCGGCCGACGCCACTCTGGGCATCGAGCCAGGGGACGACCTCCTCGAGGAAGGCAGCAGCCTCCTGGGTGCCCTGGCCGGCGCTGACGGCGCTGTTGAGGGCGAACTCGGTGACCCAGGTCTCCTGGAGGCCGTACTGCTCGGCCAGCGCCACCGCCTGGCCGACGAAGGTCTTGAAGTCGGCGGCGGAGTCGCCGTACCAGTGCACGGCGAGCACGCTCACGCCGCAGCTGCCGCCGCAACCCGACAGGAAGTTCTCGGCCCAGGCGAGGCCCGTGTCGGCGCCGACGCCGTTGGTGACGGCGGGCGTCACGAGGTGGGCCTTCCCCTTGAAGGGGGTGATGTAGTGCTGGTAGGCGGACACGGCCGCGGCCGAGGACATGGCGGCCTGGCCGCTGTTGTCGGGCTCGTTGAACCCCAGGATGTACTTGCTGCCGCTGTTCAGCGCCGTCTCGATGGCCGTGAACCACGTCCCGAACATCTTGCTGCCCCACAGCATCGGCACGTACTCCACCTGCGCCGGCAGGTGGCCGTCGCTGTACATGTTCCAGTCGTAGCCCCAGGTCACCGCGCCGCTGTTGGCCAGCGTCGTCACCGTGCTGGCGCTGTTGTAGGCCGCGCCGCGTTTGCCGGAGGTCGAGTTGATGCTCCGGTGCTCGAGCGTGACGTGCGGGTGGTTGACGCCGGCGGTGTGCCGGTTCGCGTGCATGTGCGAGGGCATCGCCAGGGCGGTGCTGGCCACGCTGCTGGCCACGAGGAGGGCTTGGGTGAAGGAGACCATTTTGCTCTTTTTGGTTGCTGGTTGTCGACTGAGAAGACCGGTTCTCGAGTTCGTAGACAAGGACAAGGAGGGGTGTGGCTACTACTAACTCAAGTAGCGTTGGGATGAAGGAATGGATGAACAGAACCGTGCACGGCACAGGTAATGGTTCAGCAGGTGTCCAATGACAAAGGAATGACTGGGTACTGAGGAGTGATCAGTATACTGAAAAGAAAAAGAGAGAGAGAGGAGAAACGAGGGAAAGGGTGGAGGATATATACCCTGGACAAACAGAGAGAAAACTAACAATTAGGGCTGGGCTGGGCTTCTTTGCGGACTTTCTTCCTTCTTTCCTTCCTTCCATCAGGCGAAACGCCCAGGAACGGATTCCAGTCAAAGAACAATAACCAATTAAAAAAAAAAAAATAAAAATAAAAAAGGTACCAACCAGAATAAAAAAAAGCAAAAATGAATCAAAATGAACAACTGTCGGAGACTTCTCTGTTTCATCTTGGCGATATTCATCCTTCGGGGGTCTTTGATAGGTCTCTTCGAAGGGATCTGTCGGGTCTGTCTGGGTACCTGAACCACAACCACTCCCTTTCCCTTTCCCTGCATCCTTCACCGCGGCCAACGGGGGGCCGATCCGTGGAACGTCATCGGGTGGAAGATTGGCCTGTGCTGCTGTGCAGTATCCATCTGACTGGCCGACCGACCATGTTGCTTCAAGGGAAGTGGGCGGTTCCTGCAGGCGAGCTGCAGTTGAGTTTTGTGCCCTGATTCTCTCGACCCGGGTGACAGCTGGAGCTGCTGACGGGATTTTAGATATCTACCCAACAACAACACTTTTGGCATGTTTTGTTTGTATGAGAACAATGGACTGTCTGCCTGCCTGCCTGTCAGTCAGTCACCAGCCTAAAGCCCACAGCCCAGACCCGACAGCCCGACAGCCAAGTTGCGTGGATGGGGCCTGCAGTTGCGCTACTTGCACGCTAGTAGATTTAGTGAATTTAGTGGCGGAGCTCCCACGAACGCCTCTTCTGTTGTTGTTGTTGTTGTTGTTGTTTTTCTTTGCTGCTGTGCTGCTGCTCCACTTTTCACCCGGCTTTCTTTCTGTCTGCGTCTGTGTGTGTCTGTGTGTGTGTCTGTGTGTCGGTCTTGATTTCCACAGGGCAGCCCTAGACCCGTCCACCAGAGCGACCACACCCATTTCAAGGCTTCGAATCGGATCCATCACCACACCACACCACCACCTCCGTGGTTATTCTTGTCTCTCACTTTTACAGCATACTCCTGACTGAATCCCACTCACCCTGAAATATCCCTGAGCAAGGGTCTGAGATTATTCCAACAATAACCCGGCCAAGACACCGCTCCGCATGGGGGCCAGGGGAAGCTCTACATCGTTGCCTGGAGCTGCCTCGCTCTCCGTGTCGGCCATAGTTACTCGGTTGTGGACGGAGTAATTCCTGACAACGTTTTGTTGCGTGGCTCGAATCAGGCCATATGGAGGAGATTGTATATGTTGTAGATGGCTAAGCAAATGTGTGTGGTGTACAGTGCAGTGCGGTGCGGTGCAGTGACAGTGACAGTGACAGGAGATGCAGTGACATGCTGCAGCTTCAGGAATGGATTTAATCCGGCGGTGCCTGAAAATCAACTTTCTCTATGCATCAATAATCATCAATGTGGCGAATGTATCCCGTCTCTCTTTCTCCGATGCCTGTTTACAGTAAAATCAAGCCAGAAAATGTAACCTTCCCTCTTTGTTGTTTGCGCTGCTTACCTGAATCCCCACCACCCACTTGTCGCTATCGCTTTGATTGTTTTGCTAAATGCACAGTAATCTACACATTCACATCCAGTACACCAACACCAACCCACAACCCCTAAAACCCAGACCAGACAAGACCAGACAAAGAGTAGCCGTCGACTCGCACAGTCCAATTCCCAATTGACTTTTCCTTGACACTAAGACACCAAGACACTAAGACAACTCCACTTACACGCGAGAATCCTCTGTCTCCGGCGCTCCGCCGTCAACAATCAATCCATTCCCCTCTCTGGTGCCCCTCTCCACCCCACTCCACTAACCCACAATCATCTCTAGCATGAATACCCTCACAGTCAGTCAGTTACAGTGGATCCAAGGGAAACCCTAGCAGTGCACAACCCACCAACTGGCAATTCAGCATATCCGCCCACCGCTGATCGGGGTCCAGACCTCAATGTACTGAGGAGTTTTCTTTTGCTCTGTTTGGTGTTTCACATGCCCTCCGAGGGCGCCAATGGGATTACATTCATTGGGTACGGTACTGGGCACTGTAGGTCTCGTGTGGGTTTTGCTGTTTGGGTTCTTCCTGTGATGGGCTTTTTTTTCTTCACCGACTCACTTATGAGTAATTGACTCTGCAGTCTGCAGTGTCTGCAGTGTACTGTACTCATACTCGAGTAGGTGTGGGTTCAAGAAAGAGATGCTGAGTATCAGCAGAGGTGAGCATCGGTCGACTACCTAACCACTCTGCTCTACCCGACCTACCCTACCCTACCCTACCCATAAGGTACTGTACTCCTCCATGCAAACTCCCCACCGGAACTGAACTGTACGTTCACTGTATCTATGACTTCTTAGGATACTTCGATACCGAGTACCATACACTACATCGAGATGATCCAGCCTATATGAAGATAATAACCCCTCAGCAAACACTTAGCCACGTAACTAAGCCCTGCAGTGCAGTGCCGTGCAGTATCCCGTCCGTCCGCCCACCCACCTACCCCCCAGGGAAACCAGCAAAACCAGGTCCGCGGTAGATCCACCGGCCCTCTTCCCTCTTCCCTCTTCCCTCTTCCCTGTTCGTGTCCCCGGTACTCCCACCATGAATATCACCATATCATCCTCCCCAGCGATGAGCAGGCCACGGAGTACTCCGTATATGGGAGGGGGTAGGGTGGGGTAAAATCCTCCGAGTCCGTTTCCCCCCCCCCCCCCCCCCCATGCATATCAACGCCCTTGCACGACATATCCTTGTATTCTCGTGGATTCCACGGTAGACATTCGCCCGATGATCTGTTGCCGTGAACACCCTTGAACCGAGTCTAGTACTTCAACTTCCTCGACGGAAGGAAAAATCCCGCAGAAGAAGAGGGATGAGAGAGTGGGGGAGAGGGGGGAAGGGGGGTGTTCATCGGCGGGGTCCGCATGTACAGTTCTGTGTAGACGGTAGAGATGGTGAAGCATGAGTGGACTTTTAGCCGATGGAAATTAATGCCTTGATGCATGTTCCTCGGGCGTGTCGAATGGGGAAGGTACTCGTAAGTTTTAGGACTTGATCTACTGCGCAATAACGGTACTGCATAGATTGGTGCTGTGCGGTGCTGTGCGGTGCTGTGTCTGCCTCGGTCTGGTTTGGAAGACGGGCTGCGGAGCGGAGGAGAGGAGAGGAGAGGGTCTGGATCTGGATGCCGCCGGAGAGTATACAGATGGAGACGGAGGAACATGTGCTTTTCATTCATTTGAAAAAAAAAAGCAAGATTACCTCCGAGGGTTGATAGTTATTGCGAGTGTGCTGACTGTATTGATTGGATATTCTGAGTCAAGTATTGGGTTCACTAGTTGACCTGGTCAATTTGACAATTTGCGTAGGTCGTGTTACTATGTAAAGGGCTTGATGCACACAGCCATGGTGGTGTAATTGATATGAATTTTTTCATCTTGGCCTCTGGTTAGGTTCGAGTTCATCAATATGGTTTATCTTGTAGAAGTAAATGGATAGCTGGTGGGCTTCAGGGGACTTCCATGCATACTGTTGCTTCTCAAGTCCACTCCTCATGCGCTGTTCTTAGCGGTGCTTATTGAGACGCATACATATATAGAATTAGCAACTAGGGCTGGTCTGGCTCCATCTCGGCTTTCCGTCAGAGACAATACATTGAGCGGGCCTGAGATTCTTTCCAGGGCATAGGCATTAGAGATAATAATACATGCAAACAGACGATCCTCCATCCTCCGCCGGTAGGAATTTTGTCTGCCCTTAATTTCTGACAGTAGATGTTGAGTAATTGTGGTTCATCCCTCATGTCTAGTATACAACCCAACCACCTAACCACCCAACCCTCAACCTTGAAACGCCACTCCATTGATCCCTTGGTTTACACCGCTGTACAGTACATAAGATGCTGTTGATATGATTGCTCTGATCATTCAGGCCCCACCCATTTCGGTATCTTCTGGCTCGGGCATGCTATGGTGTCCGTTGGTCTGGGCCAACCCAGACTCCGTCGTGGTCGTGGCCATCGGCGTTGCGTCCTCAGTGCCCGCCAGTTCGGCCGGCGTGTTGGGGTCAGAGATCGAACCCCCGTAGCCGTTCAGCCCTGTGCCATTCGTCTGCGCGCCGTTGATCGTCGGGCTATGCGCATGCGCATGCGCATCGCCGGCGGTGCTCGCCTCCTCCCAGACGCGAACGGTCCCATCCAGCCCGCAACTGACCATCAGCCGCGCCCCGCCGAGCGAGCACGTATCCACCCCCAGCACCACGCCCGTGTGGCCCTCAATGCGCTGCAGGACCTGCTTGCTCACCACGTCCCAGCACAGCACGGCACCGTCCTCGCTGCCGCTGACCGCAAAGGCATACACCGGCGTCCCGGTGGCGGGCCCTCCGCCGTACGTGCCGAACCCGCCCTGCAGGCTGTACTTCCGGTTGCTGTGACCCTGGTAGGTCTTGATGCACCGGCCGGCCACGTAGTCCCACAGTCGCACGCAGTCGTCCAGCGTCCACGCCAACACGTACTTCCCGTTCGGGGAGAACTTGACCGCCGTGACGGGCGGGTTGTCCTCGTGCACCAGCGTGCGCAGACACTGGCCCGACGCCGTGTCCCAGATGCGGATCAGCCCGTCCGTCGCGCACGAGGCGATCAGCGTCCCGTCCCAGACCACGTCGATGCCGCCCACCGGATCCGAATGCGCCGGCAGCGACCGCATCACCTGCGCCGACCGCACGTCCCACAGGAAGACCGCCTCATCGTAGGAGCCGCTGACGAGCATGTTGCCTTTCGGGGAGAACGCGATCTGGTAGACGTAGTTGTGATGGCCGACGAACGGGATCGGATGCGCCTTGCCCTAGAGCACGTAGAAAAGTTAGCCTCAATGACAGCTTACGCGCCAGGTCGTGGTGTCTTCCATACCGTCAGGACGTTCCACAGTCGGATCGTCTTGTCGTCCGATCCCGATGCGATAGTCGCCCCATCCGGGCTCCACGAGATCGTAGAGATACCCGCCAAATGGCCCTCAAACGAATGGATCAATTTCCCGGTCACCGTGTCCCACACTTTGACAGCCCCGTCCGCTCCTACATCACAAACACCGTTAGCCTAACCTCCCCATGAAGCATCTCACGGAAAAGACAAATCTCACCTCCACTCGCGATCATCGACGCATCTGGCGAGAACCGCACGGCGGACACTCCCCGCAGATGACCGCGAAGTAGGAACTTCGCGCGATAATCCACCTTATCCGGTTTCGGCGGCGGTGGCGGCGGTTGGGAGACGGGCGTAAGCGACCGGTCGGGGTACGACTCTGGGGTGTCTTCCACCAGATCGCCATTCGGTTCGTCGACATCAAGGCCATCATCGGCGTTGACCATCTCCTCGTCTTCGTTGTCTCCGGGGTAGTTGTCGCGGGGGGGTTCGTCGTCCTCACGTGCATTCTCGTCATCGTTGTTGTCGTGATTGTTGTTGTCGCGAGACTCTTGTTCGTCGTCTTCAGGTGCATCTTGTTCTTCTTCGAGTGGAGGAGCATCGACGGCGGCGGCGGCGGCGACGGCGCCGGCTTCTGCGGCGACGGAGGGGAGCGCAGCGACATCGGTTGTTTGGTCCATTTCGTCCATCTTCATGTCCTCTCCTGCATCCACATCTTCTTTTTCGTCTTGTTCTTTTTCCTCCTGAACGTTGCCATCTGGATTGTCCAGATTCCGCTTCTCGACCTGAACCTCCACGGCCACCTCCACCTCCCCGTTTTCAATCTCAACATCATCCCCGTCCGGCGTAGCAGCATCAGCATCAGCACCCACCTCACCCTCACCCTCACCCTCACCCTCACCCTGGTCCTCACCCTCAACCTCACCCTCAACCTCACCCTCATCAACCTCCACATCCACATCCACATCCGCATCCCCATCCCCATTCACATTCTCCTCTTCCCCGTCTTCATCCTCCACCTCCACCTCCCTCTCCTCATCCACCTCAACCTCATCCTCCTCCTCCCCCTCCACATCATCAACCTTAACCTCTCCCCTCAACCCAGACAAATCCCTCCTCCCCCTCCCCCTTCCTTTAGAGATAGGAACATCAACCGCAACCGCCACAGCAGTCGCGCCCACCGACCTCCTCCCACTCTTACTCCCACTCCGAGTGCCCCTCCCCTGCGCCCCCTGCCCAACCACTCCGGCGGCAATCCCAATCGACCCACGCTTCCGACTCGTCGACCGCCAATACTCCTCCGCATCAATGGTCAACTCATCCGGACTCTCCGAACCACTCAGACTGCGCCGCTCCGGCGGATGATACGGCCGCTGCGGCGGATACACGTTCTTCTGCTTTTGGATGCTCCAGCTAGCGCGGCGGCGGCGTTCTTCGGCCTCGTCGTGCTCGGAGCCCGCGGCTAGTTCGTCCGAGGAGTCGGAGTCGGGGTCGTTGGCGGCGGCGGCGGCGGAGCTTGGCCTTGCGGTTGCTGCTGCTGCTGGTGGTGGCGCAAGTGGTAGTACCGGGGATTGGGTTTTCGGGTGGTAGCCGTTGTGTTTCGTGCTGCTGGCGGGGGTGTTGGTGTTCTTTTTATGCGAGAGGTGGTTTTGGTGGTGGTGGGAGGGGGTTTGGTAGTGCGATTGTTGATGCTGGTGCTGGTGTCTATCCGGCGTGTCCAGGCGACGGCGCTTGGGGCGGTGGGTGGGATTTGCGTCCATGGGTGATGAGCCCCTTGTGAAACTCAAGGGTAGAGGATGTATGGATGTATGCGATGGCAAACTGGGGTTGAGTGGGAATTTTCAAGGGAAAGGAATTATGGTGGAAAGGGGGATGGCTATGGTAGTGGCTGTGGCTGGCTGGGTCATGAGTAGTGATGCTGATTGCTGGATGGTATGGTATGGTATCTTGCTTTTTCTTTTTGGTTGGAAGGAATAGTGGTAGGGTGGAGAATTACCCAGAGAGAGAATCACGATGATTGAAGGAACGAAAACGAAGAAGAGAAAGAGGAACAGCAACAATGTTGTTTTCTGGGGAATCGTTTGCGCGATTCTCGGATTTCTTTCAGTTGAATTTCGCCCATCCCTCGTGACGATCACGCGGGTTTTGGGAAGGCGGTCGGTGGGAAGGCCGGTGGGTCGGGGTCGGGCGGTGAGAATGATGAAATCATTGCGGAGGCTATACGGAGTACTTGTTCGGTTGGTGCTGGTGGCTTGTTGTTTCTCCAGAATTTATCTGGACACCACGCTACCTCTCCATGTAACTCAGTGCATGCAAACCTATGATGACAATTGCACGTCCCTGAAGTATCCCGTCCTCCACAATGTCCGACACGCCAGTCGAAAAACAACAACAACAACCCTCCCCTCCCTCCACCGCAGCCACCGCAACCACCGCAACCACCCCCTCCCCAACCACCCCTACCTCCATCCGCATCCTCACCCTCAACTGCTGGGGCCTCAAATACATCGCCAAACTGCGCCATGAGCGCCTCACCGAGATTGGCCGACGGCTGGCCCTCGCCACCCCACCGCCGGAGATCGTCGGGCTGCAAGAATGCTGGACGCAGGCGGACTACGAGAGCATCCGGCAGCAGACGCGCCACATCCTGCCGCACGGCAAGTTCTACCACGGGGGGATCTGGGGCGCGGGGCTGGCGATCCTGTCGCGCTGGCCGATCGAGGAGAGCAGCATGGTGGGGTACCCGCTGAACGGGCGGCCGACGGCCTTCTTCCGCGGGGACTGGTACGTGGGGAAAGGGGTGGCGTGCGCGCGCGTGCGGTTCGGTCCATCCCCAAAGGATGTGGCCGAGGTGTTCTGCACGCACCTGCACGCGCCGTACGAGCGCGAGCCCAACGACTCGTACATCTGCCACCGCACCGCGCAGGCCTGGGAGATCGCCAAGCTGATGCGCGGCGCCGCCGAGCGGGGGCACCTCGTCATCGGCCTCGGCGACTTCAACATGCTGCCCGCCTCGTTCGCCCACCGCCTCATCCAGGCCCACGCCCCCGTCCGCGACGTCTGGCAGGTCCTGCATCCGGACTCCTCCCTGGGCGCCGCCATCGACCCCGTCGAGCAGGCGCGCGGCAAGCCCGTGCCGTCGGCCGGGTATAATATCACGGAGAATGGCGCCACCTGCGATGGGCGGTTCAATACCTGGCGGTGGAGTAAGGAGGACCAGAAGCGGTTGCTGAAGAAGGGCGAGGAGATCGAGGTCGACCCCGAGGACCCCTGTCCGCGCGGCAAGCGGCTGGATTATATCTTTGTGGGAGATGGAAGTGGTGGTGCGGGATTGCGGTCTCCGTCAGCGGCCCCGAAATGGTCCGTGAAGTCGGTCCAGCTGAGTATGATGGAGCGCCATCCTACGCTGCGATGCTCGCTGAGCGATCACTTCGCGGTGGAGGCGGTCATCACGCGGGAGGGGGAGGAGGAGCAGTCTGCGAAGCTGGAGGCCGAAGGGGGTAGTGCTGCTGTGGCTGCTACTGCTGACGATGGTTCGTCACTCGCCCCCGACGCCACGCTCGAGCCAGAGACCTATGACCGCATCATCGAGATGATTCACAAGTATGTCCTGCGGGAACGCTCGCAGCGACGCTGGCGACTCGCACACTTTGTCGCCTCCGTGTTCGTGTCGATCGGCTGTATGGTGGGCGTTTGGTGGACGGGTGACCATCTGCCGTATGTGGCCTTTATTCTGCTGTTCGTGAGCACGTTGAACTTTGGTGCGGGAATCCTGGATGGATTGATTGGGGGGTTGTTCATGTCCAGCGAGCTGCGCGCGCTGAAGGAGTTTGAGTGGGAGGTTCGGAACGCGAAGCAGATCGCCGAGGCGGCGGCTGCTGGTGGGAAGTCAAAGAGGACGGAATGAGGTTGTATGACTGTCTGTATAATATGTGTGGTCTTTGTATATAAGTTAATGTTTACTAGGCTGAGATTGATGAGCTGATCGAGTTCTTTGCATGTATGATATGCCTGCAATGAGTTTACTGACAGGAATAATTCGTTCTAGAGATTGAGAAGAGGAATCAGATCAGGGTGAAAGCAGGAGTTGATGCTATGTCGATATGCCAAGCACGGTCTATTTGCTCTATATACATGATCTCCCCATGCCCCATACTACCCATGCCCCCCCTCACTCCCATACTCATCCTCATGTTCGTCGTCGTCGTCGAAATCATCGTATCGCATCGCATGGAACCTAAAAAAAAAGAACACATCAGTCAGCGACAAACGCCACTGAGTAAGACCCTCCGGATCCATAGCCCAAAGTGCAACCACAGCGGCTGTTTTGCTTCGGCGAGAAAACAAGCGGCATCCCCTTTGATCACTCCAACCTTCCACGGGACCGTTCGTTCAAAGCCTACTACTCCCGCTGTGGATCGGCGTTCGCCCACGGAGACTTCACAACAGATGCAAGAGGGTGATGACTCCTCCTGATCAAGTCCGGGGTTTTGTCCAGTTCAACCACTTTGGAAAGTGAGAAGAATACCATTTGCTCGGGCACCTTGCCGTCCCCAGGATTAAGGATCGAGATTTGAAATGTGCCTCGATCAATTTCCAGTGTGTTTCCTGTCCTCCCCCGGTATTCACAAGATGATCCAGTGGTTTCTGTAGCTCGTACTGCACCGAGGGGCCCCTCGGCAGTAGCAAAGCCCAGACCCTAACTGAGAAACAAACTGCGAGACTTGGGAAAGGAGGATGGAGGAATGTTTGAAAAGAGAAGCAGGGAAATCATACTTTTCCTGAAGCGCGACAGGCCACCGTCATGGCCCCAGAAGAGGTTCCACCGAACGAAAGGGGGATGGTGGGTGAAAAAAGGAGTAGGAGTTGGGCTGTTTTGGGGTAGATTGTTTCGGTATCTTACCTTGATTCTCGTCTGAGGGTCTGAGAGTGTTGTCTTCTCAGAGGAGTGTGTGTGTGTGTGTGTGTGAGAGAGAGAGGGAGAGAGAGAAAAGGGAGAAGAGGAAGAAGAGATGGGGGTTCATATAGCCAGAAGATTTCCTGGAAGGGAAGGTGCCTGGAATTCATCATTTCCATTCACTGGTATCATAACACAAGATTCACTGATATTCACCAACCACCAGCCCCCTGACTCACATACATTCACTACCCCTGCTTCCGACCTTCCATAACACGCAGCACATCTGACGCGCTGTTCTTGTCGCCCTTCTTCTTTTTGGGTCCTCGTTTCCTCTTCTTCCCACCCCGGCCTTCGCCCTCGAGTACCACTTCCTCGTCGTCCTCTTCATCGCCCACCCGACTGCCTCCGAAGCCCATGTCCATATCCATCGCATCCAGCGCCTCACGCCGCCGCGCCTCTTCCAGGAACTTCTTGCGCCGCAAGGCTGTTTCCGCGTCGACGTCCTCCTCTCCCTCCCCAGCAGCCTCCTCGGATTGTCGCAAGGCCGCCGCCCGTTTGAGAGCGGCCAGTAGCGTAGCATCTTTAGCCAAGGGATTCGAACGATCGATCTCGGGGACTTCTTCCGTCGTCGAAGTAGCGAAGTAGTTGCGTGGCCGGCCTGTGGTGTCCTCGACAGGTGTCTTCTCCATATCCGCAGTAGCCTCCGCTGGAGCTGTGTCTGTAGTCACGGACTTCTTCCGAGCGACCTCGCCGTCGTCACTTTCATCGGACGACGATGAATCGTCCTCGTCTCCCAAGTCTGCCAGCGGGTTGTAGTCCGCTCCCACTCCGGCGAAGATATCGTCGTCTTCCTCCTCCGCCGGGGCCGGCGCAGCCTTGGCCGCGAACTCAGCCGGAACCTCCATGCCCAGCGGTTTAGCAGCAGGCGCAGGCGCAGGCGCCTCACCCGGCTTATCCAGCCATCGCACCTTGCGCTTGACCTTGCCCTGCGCGTCCGTGACCTGGAGGATCTCTTTCCGGCGACCAGTCTCATCCTGCTCGATCCACCGCTTCTTCTCGACCTTCGACTCACTCCCGATCCGCTTGAACCGATCCCCCAGCGCGGGCTCAACCGGCCGCTGCTCCTCCACCTCCGCTTCAGCTTCAGCCTCCGCTGCCGCCGCCGCCGCCGCCGCCGCAGCAGCAGCACGACTAGCCTTCAACTGCCTCAGAATCTCATCCCTAGACCTCGGCACGCCGGGCTCGACCTGCTCCAGTCTCGACGACAGAGGCGGCGGGGCCATGATCCCCTTCTTCTTGACCTTCTGTTCCTTGGGAGCAGAAGGCAACCCGTCGACCCCAGCTTCCTCCTCCCCAAGCACCTGATCCAACTCATCATCCACATCCCCCACCTTCTGGTCCCCCTCACCCTCCCCCTTCCTCGTCACCGTAACCGAAACATCCTCCCCCTGCCTCACCCTCCGCAACAACTCCCAATCCAACCCCTTAACCATATGCGTACTCCCCAGATCCCCACCAACGCCCATCTCCCGAATCAACCCCTCAAACGTCCCCTGATCAATCTGCCCCAACTTCACCATCTCCTCCAACGCCTTCACGCGCTTCTCCAACTCCCCCTTCTCCCCAGCAGTAGCCGCAGTCGTATCCCCATCCCCATTATTATCCCCATCCTCCTCAGCACTCCGCAACAACGCCGCCCGATCCCGATACCCCTCCGGCAATTTCGTCCCCTTCGGCGCAGCCGACGACTTAAACCGTTTCGCCGGATGTGCACCGCCGCCCAACTGCTCCCGGCGGTGATCGGCGAGTTGGCGCGCGAAGTCGTTGTGCAGGGAGGATTTCGTGGTGTTGAGAGCGCGGCTGTGCTCCATCAAGTAGTTAGCGTGGCCCGTCGATACAAGCCCGAGATCTCTAGGACAACCCGCGCAGAAGGCGGAGGGATACGTACGGCGTCATAGGGATGCTCGAGCGGAGTCGCGAGCCCAGCGCTGCAGTGGCGGCCGAGGGCGTTGCACCCGGGTTATTTGTGTTCTGGTTGCGCGCATTGTTGTTGCTGCTGGACGGGGTGTCGAGGACGAGGCGGCGGAATTGGTCGTTGTTCATGCTGGGCGGCAAATCTCGCGCGAAGTTGTGGTACGGTATGTCGGGTTGGTGTTGGATCAGAGGTACTGCATTCTTTTGGTGGGTTTACTTGGTTGTAGATCCCGGTGTGAGCGGGCGATTGAAGAAAGTGGGTGGAACTCAGTTGATGCGGTGGGTAAATTGCCTGCGGCCGCCGGAGGAGAAGCGTTCCAGATCGGGGATGCGCTCCTCGCCCGCCGGGCCTGTCGACGTCAGATTCTCCCGCGTCTTGGCAGTATAGCGATATTGTACATGGTTACCGGAGAGGTTTGGATCACATTATTTTACCTGTGTGTCAGAGGCATTGTGGAAAGGTGGTAATGAAAAGGCTATCAGGATTTACTGGAATTTTCTATATTTACAGATACACTACGGGATTCAACTGGTAGTCATTAACGAGAGTTCATATTTGGCTATCAATCGCATTCGTTTCAATTTGTGGGCATTTCGAAAAAAAAAAGTCACCAGCAGCTTCGTCATCATCCCATAAATAGAGTGGCAGCTTGACGATACGATCATCTTACTCGGCACACTCACGCTGGCGCTCGTCAAAGACCTTGAGGGCCTCCTCGGCCGCCTTGACACCGCTGAGCACCATCGCACCAAAGGTCGGGCCCATGCGGTTGAAGCCGTCGATCTCCGATAGCTCCATGCCGCCGATGATCAGGCCCTTGGTGACCTCACGGGTGTTCTTGACGATAGCATCCTCGGCGGAGTTCATGTCCAGACCCCGCATGCCGCCCAGCTTGTCAACGGTCGCCATCGAGACCAAGCGCTTGGCCGAGAAGGCGCCGAACGGGCCATCGTGTCCAGTGGTGCTGATCACGAGAGGCGCGTTGATGGTGTTGGGGTCCATGCAGGAGTGGTCATCGTGGTGCAGAGTCACCAGCGTCCAGTTGGTGACCACACCCGCGATGCGCGTCTCCTTGGGATCTCCGTTGGGGGCGGGACGGGTCACCAAGTCCTCCACGCTGGTGGCATTGAAGAGCTTGACGTTGGGGAAGGAGAGGACCTTGGACAGCAAGGTCGAGGTGAACAAAGACGCATGTTTCACGACGACGTAGCTGGGGTTCGACGGGTCTTCCTCGTACGGCACGCCCAGTGCGTTCAGAAAGACCTCCGCGGGACGACGCATGACCATCGCAGAGAAGAGCTGGCCACCCAGCCAAGCACCACCACCTATAGTACGGTGTTAGTCGAGGTTGTAATGCGGCTATTTATTCGGTGGTACGAACCAGGAGAAACATTGGCCTCGATGATGGCAATCTTCAAATCAGGGCGGGCGTTCGCCAGCACGTACGCGGTGCTCAGACCACAGGAACCAGCGCCGACAATGACAATGTCACTCTCGGCGTACTTGTCCAGATCCTGGAAGTAGCGTCGGGTCATAGCGCGAGACACCTGACTCTCACGGATGGGTTCGAACTTGAAGTCATCCCACTTGCCGCCGAAGTGGTCGAGCAGCTGGGTCTGCGAGTCTCCTCCCATCATGGGAGCGATCTCGGGAACGATGACCTTTCCTTTGAGACCGGCGGTAGGGGCCACGGGGGACTCGAGCAAGGCAGCGGGGGGAGACATGATGCTCTTTGGGAGTTGTTGGATTCAAGTCACGGTAGTGACTGAGGATTGTTAGTTATTCCATCAATGAAGGGGGCACGAGGGAAGGCATGATCCTTTCGCTGGTATTATCCAGATCAAGTTTAACCGTATAATCTCAGAACGAACCCAGAGCCACCAGCGTGAAGCAAGCACGCTGGCAGATAGGAACGAACACCGGTCCATGGCCAAAGTTACCTGAGGTACCTGATCAATGAGTTGCCCAGCTTCAAGGCATTGCATGACTTCCACCGTCAAGACCCGCGAGGGGCCTATGGTAGGTGGTGTTTACATTGGACGGATTGAGTTCCTATAGATTGGTTAGTCGAAGCTCTTGCCAGAACCAGGGGAGAGTCAATTGAATGAAAGGGATCACGACTTCTGAAGATAGTAATATCTGTCGAAGATGATGAATGAAGATGGGACGAGTGATTGTGTTGGGAGAAGAGGATGAGAAGAAAAGAAGCGGGGTTGAGAGGAGGGGCAGCTTAAATAGACAGTCGAGACGACGTAATGTCCTCCTCCTCGACGATCGTTTAACTTCCTGTCCCTCCGATTCCGCCCGCACATGTTTTAACACCGGCAGACGACCGGTGAACTCAAGGAGTAAAGTATAGTTATGACCTACTGACGGGGTGAGTCAGTTAATCCGACGATCTTGATGACTTTCAAGTGGACTAGCCTATGATATGCTCTACATTGTCATGGCTGGAGTACTGTAATCCGCGGGGGGGAGATAATAGTCACATGATCTCTACCCTTTCGTTATGGTCTCCAGTGTATAGCATTGGGGGCCTAGGCGCAGCGCCAGTACATACAATGCATAGTATAATAATTCAAACATTCGGAAATCGTGATTCCCGCTAGACGAACTGAGAAGGCTTTGCTCCTCTTCACTAAAATCCGAAAGACCCCGTCGCCATGACATGTTAGACCATAGCAGCGAGATGACCTCGGCCATCGCAGACAGTAACTCATCCTCTTCTCCAAGAGGCCACAGCCGAGGCCAGGCAACAGTCAAAGACTCATCCAGCCGTGATAAGCACAAAGGTCCCCGTCTCGCCCACCGTGAGTCCAGGACCGGATGTCAGCGATGTCGCGCCCGACGAGTAAAGGTAGGTGAAATCCATTGCCACAAAATCACCAACTCTGTCCTGACTGAGATAGTAGTGTGATGAAACGCAACCGGTGTGTCGCGACTGCCATCGTCATGGGATCCCCTGTGCTTATGACAGGCCCGTGGAGAGGATCCAATCTCGCCCACTCGAGCCCAGTTCATCGGATCCCAGTCATGACGCACATGCTATGGAGCTGCGCTTGCTGCATCACTTTACCCTATTCGCCAGCGCTACAATGCCAGGGGCCCAATTGAAGCGTATCAAAGACTGTTGGTCGATTGACGTGCCCCGACTCGCATTCAGTTACAAACCGCTCCTGCACGCTGTCTTCGCCATCTCTGCCCTGCATCTGTCCGAAGCCAACCCAAACGATGCTGGGTTGCCGGGCATCCACTGCCATTACCTGGAGCAGGCTTTGCGCGAACATCGACTTTGTATCGGCGGCATAACTACGCAGACCGCGGATGCGGTGTGCTTTACAAGCATCCTGTTACAGGTCGATGTATTTGCTACCTTACAAAATCATCCTGTTGTTTCTTACGATCATGTCAGTGGATGGATGCGCCTAGTGCGCGGGTCGGTAGCTGTCTTTGACGCTGCCTTGGAGATTGCGAGGCACAATACCCATCTCGCGAGTATCTGGTGTATTATCGATACCTTTCCCCTCCCCTTGCGGACGAATTCTGATGCTGGGGCATTTTCCTTCCTGCTTCCGACTGCGACTGACGAGGAGGAGGACGATATGGCGCTGGAAACATATCGAGGGGCCGTCGCGCATATCAACGCCACCTGGCTGGCCATGGAAGCAAAGGAACATCCGCAAATTAGCTGTCGCCGGCTCATGGCCTTCCCTGTGTTTGTAACAACCGAATTCATCGACTTAATCGAGAAGAGGACACCTCGCGCTTTGGTGGTTCTGGCCTACTTTCTCGCCTTGTCGGCACCATTACGCGACACATGGTGGATCGGAGATGCTGCACACAAATACGTCGTGGCCCTTCAACCAATCCTTCCTCCCCGTTGGGAGCGCCTAATGTCCTGGCCAGTGGACATGATCATATCTCGTACCACACAGCAAATACAAGTCGCTATCCAACCACCTCGGTGATTCCCGCCCGGAACAGCACCTTCTCGATCACAGGCATCCTGAACGGCACCGGCTCTTTCGTCTGCTCAAATGTCTCTGACCAAAGCAAAAAATGAGCCTGAGAGATCTTCTCCAACCGCCACTGGTGCGGCGAGCTGGAGTCTGATGTGACCGTGACCTGCGAGCACATCTTCTATCTTCATGTGCTCTACCAACACATCGACCCCGATCAAGGCAGGCAATACCGCCAATGGCTGCTCTCGCAGCAAACGCCGACGGCTCCTGGGGCATCGCGCAGCCCTACGAGAGGCTACGCGCGCCGCGCGCCGTTGCTGTACAACGTGAATCCTGCTGCACCAAGAGAGATCCGGCGACTAGGCAGGCATCAATCCGCCCATACACGCAGGCATCAACGCCCTTTTACTCGAGGGGTACAAGTTACACGACGAGCCTATCCAGCTTGGTCCAGCAGCCATCGAACGCTTACGTGGGCAGTGAACCATGGCAAGCGCCTCCAATGCTCTCTCTCCCGGTCTGGGACACTGTCTTCATGATTCGCACATTTTGTGAACCCTCGCATGAGGCCTCGCAGATGATTGGCGCTCATAGACAAGGATTCTCGGTCTCGTTTAGTAGCGTGTGGGCCTGCATCTCGGCCCTGCATCCTCACTATATGCCCTATACCCGAGACTTGTTGCCTAGAATGCATATAGATATATTATCTATTTTTCCTTTTCAATTACCTCAACTCAACCTGCACTACACCAACATCGCACCTCTCCTACACCGAATGACCGAAGATGCCATCCGGACTCCTCATCGCGCAACTCGCCCTCTACGCTCCGCTGACACTTCAAACCCTCTACCTCCTCTTCCGCCACGGCCGCCCCGGCCTCCTCGCCTGGTTTTACCTCCTCGCCTTCTGCGTGCTTCGCGTCACCGGAGCCGCCATGGGTCTTCACGACCCGCACAACACCGGCGCCCAGATACTCTCCAGTATCGGGCTCTCGCCGCTGCTGCTTGCGATAGACGGGGTGTTGCATGAGGCGTAGGTTTGCCCTTCAAACTGACCCCACACACACCCAGCCCTTATTTCCTGTCCTTCATGCAGGAGCAAGTGCAAGTGCAACATATCTCATATGTCCTAGGAGAATCTACTGTTTATCGCCCAGTCAACGAACCGAATGGACGTTCATGGCGCTCATCCATGTCCTCGTGGCGACGGGGGTGGCGATGGTCGGGGCTGGTGCCGGCGGGCTTCTGGGCGATACACCGAAGCCCAGCGATCTCTCCAACATCAAGGTCGGGATGGTGCTGCTGGAGGTTGCGTGGGGCGTGCTCGCTGGGTGGGGGCTGTGGACTCGTTGGGATGGGAGGGGCTCGGGGTGGAAAAGTGGCGATGCACCAGCGGGCTTGGCCAGGAGGGAGGGGTGGGTGGTACGTTCATCCCCTGCCTTTTCGTCCAGAACGTTGATCGTATCTGGTTTTGCATACGGAGGATCGCTTAGGTCGTGCTAACACCAAGACGCCTCGAGGCACAGCTTCTAACCGGCACCCTCCTCGCCCTTCCCCTCGTCGAGGTTTCAGTGATATACATGCTTGTCGCGCAGTTCACCCAGCGCGCGGACCTGAACCCGATGACTGGGGGTCTGGCGGTTCGTGTTGTGTTGGGATTTCTCCCGGAGTTGCTCGCGGCGATGGTTTTGGTGGTCGTTGGGATTGTGACCAGGAAAGTGGGTAATGCTGGGGCTGGGGCTGGGGCTGGTGAGGCTGGGCTGGGGCAGGGGCATGGGCATGGGCATGGGCAAGGGCGCCAACACAGACATGCTCATGCTCATAGACATGGAAGGAGGCGCTCGAGCTCGAAACATGGCACGAGGTTGCCTTCGAGGTCACATGAATAGCCTTCGCATTAGCACCTCCGGGGCGGAGTGGGGGCGAGGATCAGTATCGTATCGAAATGGTGTATGATCTCTTGTATGGTGCTCTATATGCGGCTTGGTGCCAGGCGTTATACGATCAAGTCTCTCAGAATCCAATACTTAATCTGTGTATGTGCTTTATGGTCTCAGCTGGAGCAATCCTAACCTGACAGAGAGCACAGTGCTCTTGTCTAACAAGGTGTACGTTGTAGAAGTATGCAGGATGCATGCGGAGGCTTGCCGGGGCTAGTTGAGCCTGTCTCACCAACGGAGAGGGAGGTTAACGAGGGATAAGCCCCAGAGAGGGACCAAGGTAGAGTCATTCTACGACTTGTAGTCCAAGGAAGTTACTCATACTTGATAACCCAAGATAGCATAGCACAAGCATAAAGTAGGTTATGCACCCTACTGAGTCATCCCCTCTTATGTAACGAAGCTAACCGAAACCGGGGTGGGGCAAAGGTTGAACGGGCGCACAAACGCGTGACTCGGCCCTCCCCGTCGACGAAAATTCCCCCCCTCAAGTCTCATCGCCCTCGCACTTCCCGCGCCCCCCCGTACGACAAATCTCGACAGGATCCCTCTTTTTTTCCGTTGTTCTTGAAAATCATCACATAACGCCAAAATGGGTAAGGTAAGTTTAATTCGACGAGATGAGGCCCTCCACGTCTGCGATATGACGAAGAAAGCAGAGAAGACTAACATCTGAGATGAAAATAGGTTCACGGATCTGTAAGCATTCCCCTCCCTCTCTCTCTCTCTCTCTCTCTTTCGCCCCATCGACGACCGACGACCGGCTGCAAAACGCAAACGACCATCGAAAAACAGTTGATCACCATAAAGGAATGAAAGATATCTGACCTTCCAATCAAAACAGCTCGCTCGTGCCGGTAAGGTCAAGGCCGCCACTCCCAAGGTCGACAAGCAGGAGAAGGCCAAGCAGCCCAAGGGCCGTGCCTACAAGCGTGTCGTCTACACCCGCCGCTTCGTCAACGTCACCCTCACCGGTGGCAAGCGCAAGGTATGAAATCACCAAAATATCATGGAACTGAAAAGAGGGAGGGATGCAGCAACAGTTGAGATGGATATTCGATGGAATTCCTCCAGCTGGGAAAGATGGCGGTGTGATGGATTACCGAACGGAAGGGCTTACAACACCCTCAAAACAGATGAACGCCAACCCCACCGCTTAAACGCACCCCATCATCTTCCCAACGAAACAAGAAAATTCCTCTTTCTTTGTGATCGATCGAATTTGAGATTCCGATGACCCCCTTTTTCTTTGAAAGGCAAAACGACGATTCCCCCGGGTTTTCAAGGTGGCGTGAAATGATGGAGCGAAGAGAGGCTGGAGGATTTTGGTGATGCGCTATTTGCGATCGGAAGCGGCAACATTTCCCCTTGCCTTTTCGATCAAAGAGGATTAAAACACGGTTCCCTCCCCAACTTTTACGACGGATTTTTCGCCTTTACGGATTTTCTTGACGTGGGGGAAAGCGAGTGAAAGACGGTGTTTTTTTCTTCTGTGGTAGCAGGAAGGACGATATTTATTCGGACTTTTTGATCTGGCGATGCAATACCATCACTATTCTCAAGTCTCTCATATGGCTGGTTTCTCTGTGTCTTGTTTTTTTTTTCTTCATGCATAATCGATGGTTGCAATCTGTGTGCTGCGATCGCTAGTAGATGGATGGCGTTTCATCCTGTTTCCTGCATGACAAGGCTTGGGGTCTGAGTTCGGTGGCCAACCAGGCTCGGTTTCGCTGTCTGGTTAAGGGTCATTGCTCGCTACGTAACCTCAGACTCCATATATCAAACTCGGGGGAGATTCGTCTATCAAACTGTGGGCGGTATGCCTGAGATGCACCTCGAGTCAACCTGTAGAGAGAGGTTGATCAGGGCACATATGGCTTCGTAGCAACGAGGCAGCTGGCTGGCTGGCTGGTAAGCCTTTCATCCGTAGAATCCCAAACTACACGATAGTGACCTTGACCTTCACCCCCCGATCCTTCACCCAATTCTTCTTCTTGCCCACCTTCTCCAGGCCGTCCGCCCTTCCCGTCAGTATCTCATGTAGCATGGACGGGACAGCGTCCCCACGCTTCACCTTCAGGTGCAGCACATCGCGCACCTCCTTCTTCTCGACCGCGCGCCACTCCGTCTCGAATCGCACCCTCCAACGCCCCTCGAACTCCCGGCCCGCAGGATACACATCCCCGACCATGGCTGCCACGCGCCCCAGGTACCGACACCACCAGGCCTCCTCGCTCGACACGCACCGGACCAGCTGCCGATGGTACCCCTCATCGATCGGGGCAAGGTCCCCGTCCCAGCGCTCGCAGAGCACCAGCGCGATCAGCGCCCGCTCGACGTGCGACAGACAGTTGGTGGACGCCAGGATCCCCGTCGCCGTGCTATGCAGCGCGGCGGCGGCCCGCGACTCGCGGGGCACCGTCGCATGCGCAAACAGCACGTTCGCCAGCGCGGCCAGCAGATTTGTCGCGAGGAACGACCGCGGGATCTGGAACGAGGCCCGCGGCGACGGGGTGTCTGGCAGCGCCGCCCGCAGGAGCGCGCGCATTCCCTCCGCCGAGGGCGGCGCATACGGCCGCGTCGCGGCGAGCAGGGGGTCCTGCGCGCGGACCGGCCGCGGGAGCCGGTCGTATAGGAAGCCCTCGCGGACGCCGCCCTGGCAGAACTGGATGTGCGTGACGACGGTCTCCGGCAGCGCGGCCATGATGACGTTCACCAAGAAGGCGACGGCGGGGATCTGCGCGGCGCGGCGCCGCGAGACGCCGTAGACCTTGGTGGCGGCCGGGTTTTGGTCGGCGACTTCCTCCAGCACCGCCGCGGTGTCGTGGAACTCGGCCCGCGGGACCCGGAACCCGTTGATGATGGGGATCGGGTACGCCTCGCTCTGCTTTTGGGCGTAAGTCTTCATGAGCACGTACCCCCAGCCGCGGAACCCGCCGCCGCAGAGATACAGACTGAGGGGTGGGGTCTGGCGCAGCAGGGATTCCGGCACCGCGAGCTCGCGGTACGCCGTCTGGAACTGGCGGGTCATCTCCGCCTTGAGCTCCGTCACAGCGTTTGTTGATTTGGTATCTGCCTCCTCCAGCAACCGGCCCAGCGCCGCGGCGCCGTAGGGAAAACTGAACGAGCCCCGCGGACTCGTCCGCACCTCCCCGCCCTCCTCCACCACCCAGGTGATTTGCGTACTGCCCCCGCCCAGATCCATCGCGATCCCTGCCACCGACGCGGAACTGCTCGCGATCCCCAGGGCGCCGATCCGCCCTTCCTCCTCCTTGGAGAGCAGGCGCACCTCCCAGCCGGTGTGCGCGCGGATCGCGGCGCGGAACTCCGCCGAGTTCGGGGCCGTCCGCGTCGCCTCCGTAGCCAGCACGTGGATGTTGGTGTCCGGCACGTTGAAGTCGGTGCAGGTCGACTGGAAGTGTCGCAGGTGGTCGACTACTTGGTCGATGATCACCTCCGGGATCGGGCCCCGCGTGCCCGTGGCTCGGGAGAACTGGGCATCGTACAGGGAGATGCCAGCTCGGGATTGGTAGACAATGGGCATGATTCTCGCGGTCGGGGGGGAGAGGTCGGTGATTGAGAAGCGGATGCCATTGCTGTGGGTTGGGTTGGCTTAGTGCTTTTGTTTGATCGAGTTGTAGGGGTTTGAGGGTGTAGTTGATGGAGCTGTGAAGTGTAGAGGACTGACTCACCTTCCCATATCCACGATCCCGTAGAGATTGAGGCTTGTGGTTGATGGTTCGGTCATGATGGGGTCCGGACTGGAATGATGTCAAATGTGAGGTCAACACGGTAGGTGCTGCGAGAGTCACGACCTTAATCGCATGGTTTGGGTGTGTGCGACTAGCTTGACTATGAGGCTGCTAGCTTAGGGTAAGAGTAGATTCTGTAGTCGGCTATGCTCTCAGCAGTAAGGCTTCAAAGGGTAATATAAAGAGTAGGCAATAGAAGCGAGGCGAGATGCTGGTGTTGTGTTGACGATTGGGTTGACGTAGCCGAGATATATTCCCGCGGAGGTGGAGACTATGCTACTGATTAGTTACTACCCCTCCACGGCGGTGATCACCGCAAACATGCACCTACAATCAGTTTCACCAACAATCTCAACACCATGCAATTGCCTTCTAAATTTTAAGCCCAGCATACTTCTATTTCGTCAACGAGCATGACTTCATTACCGCAACAAAAAGCAGAACCACGCATGCTAAAGGAACACCACAACCTACAACACATATCGGAAGCCTGCCCCGTAATTCTCCTCCCCCACAGCGGTCTCATCCTTAGCCTCAGCTGTCCATTCCGCGACTGCGCCATACCGCTTATCGAGGCGGCGATTCTCCCAGGCCAGAAGAACTCGCAAAGACAGGGCAAGAATCGTGTTAAAGAACATGAACGCGGCGCAGATAGACAACCCGCGAGTGAAGCGAGGTGAATCGCTGGATGGAAAAACGTTGGTCCCCAGAAACGGACCACACTGGCCGATGACGTTCAGAATGACAATGCCCATGCCTCTCCGGCTATCCGAGCCTTGGTTGTCTACAGAAGCCATATTAGTGCATGAAATATTACTTGCGAGGATCAGTCAGACGTACTCAGAGCCCAAGGAAGAATGTTGGCGATAGACGGGAACACCCCGATGGCGGCAAGGAACACGCCAAGGTAGCGAACCCCAACAGAATCGCAAGCCGCAAGTAATACATAGCCAACGGCACCGACTAGGGAGGCACAAGCAATCACCAGGCCCCGCTGCTGAATCCGATCGGCAACCCATGTCGTGGCGATCGTGACGAGGAAGGACGCAAAGAATGGTGGTGCCGTCAGGCCCTGAGCGTTGATTGAAGTAAAACCCATATCTTCCAGGATCGTTGGCAAGAAGACGGGCAGCGATGAGAAGCTCACGTTGCAGCTGAAGTACATAAACTGGAACTGTTGTCAGCATAAACCTCAGGCAAAGGCGGCTAATCTGGGACATACTGCCAAAATCCACGCCTTCGTATCCAGCAAAGTATGGCCCAATTCTTTCCAGTCGATCCCACTAACTCGCTCGCTCTCACCACTCCGTCGAAGAGATCTGGCTCGGGTAACCTCTTTCTCTTCTTCGGTCAGGAAACGTGCGGACGACGGGTGATCTGGCAGGTAAAACCAAGCCAGAATGGCAGCCAAGAGTGACGGGCTCCCTTCTACCAGGAACAGCAGCCGCCAATTCGCTATCCTAGCATGGCCGGAGGTGATACCATAAGCGAGAGCGCCGGCAAAGGTGTTTGCCAGAGGGGCTGCCGACAGAAACATGCCACATCGAAGTCCTAACTCATGGCGTCGATAAAAGAATGATAGCAGGTACGGACTTCCTGGGCCAAAGGCAGCTTCCGACATGCCCAACAGAAATCGCAGGGCCATCAACCCTCCCCAATTCTGCACTGCCGCCTGACAAGTTGCCACAATACCCCTATACAACATAAGGCTATGACTCAACACATGGGAGGTATAAGTCAAGTCTGAACATACCAACTCAAGACGGTGATAGCTGCCCATCTGTGCGGAGGCATGATCTTCCACATCAATGCCAGGAACTCAAAAAGAGTATATGAGATGTAGAAGATCGTTAACAGCCATGAGTATCGATTTCCCGTAAGGTTGAGATCCTCTTCCATTCCCGCAATTTTTGCATTCCTGTTTGCTCGTTAGACCAAGGGGAACTATTGAATATTGTGCGATTAAGCCTACCCAATGTTGCTCCTGTCGAGCAGCGATAAGAGATCTGTGCGAAGCCTTCAAGTCAGATAAGAACTCGATTGTACTAATATGAAGAGCAAAGATGTGCAATCGTGCAGGAGATGAATTAGACAGGACGCGCATACAAAGAAATCCTAACAAGGTCGGAACTCTGAGGTCCAACTTTCTCAGCACTCGAGCTTCCAATGCAGGATCTATCGACATTGCAGCTTGAGGCATCTGCGGGAGTGCGGTGTGGGTTTCTTCCTTGTGCATGGGCTGCTGCTTCTCCGCATCGTGACTCGGAGCCTCGACGATGGCGTCGACGTCCTCAGCAGGACTGCTAGGGATGTCTTTCTTCCCAAACAACCCCATGGTCGACTGTAAAGTGTCGCAATAAGGAGTAACAGGAGTTTGATGACAGCAACAGGGATGTAATTGTGACTTCTCTCTTGTTGAGAGGGGGGTCACTGCTTTATGAACGCGTCCACACCAAAACCTTTACGCTGTTTATGGTTTGGCACGGAGTTAGACGATTGGACAATGAGCTACCAGCCTGACCTGTGAGGTTCTCCCGACTAACACAGTTTAGACGTCCAGCTAGCGAGGGGTGACGTGAAAGTTTGAGAAAACGAGGGAGGGGGCGCGGGCGATGAGTGGACTGTCAAGCCGAGCCGATTGAGGTCACTTTCTAAGAGAGCTCCGTGTGATACGTGGGACAGAGCTCACGCCCAATCATCCGAGAGAGTGAAAGATACACTATGCTGAATGTGCAGGAAACTGGCAGAATGGACGCATGGGGCTTGCTCCTCGGAAATATGATGACATGCTTTCGCACACCCAATTGCGGAGACAAACCCATCGGTTCATGGGTGGCGGGCCAAAGCTTGAGACGAAACCATCCGAGCAGGCGCAAGGCTTGGTCAGAGACTGAGTGATAGCATTGGACGATAGCCGAGGTGAAAGAGGTTGGATATCCCAGTCTGATTTGTTTCATCCCCCTTGCGCATTCTGATGCATGCCTCTCCCAGCAGTAACGAGCAAACAGTGAAGCACGTTTGACTAGAAGTCTGAAAGAGACCCCTGCCGTTTGTAAGAGTACCCGTAAAAAGCATAGCAAAGATCAGCCCGTGCGAGTTCCCACATCGTTGGGTCATTGGGGTGGGTGGGTAAGCGAGTCGAGGATGTAAACTGTAGATCCAGCAAGCCAAATTGCGGGGAGTGAGACGATCTCCAGCTGGAAAGAGTAAAAGCGCTCCGACCCCGACACTAGACCCGATCGGGTAATTTTTTGGTGCCTGAGGTGTAAGGTGTAAAAATATGCTTCAGGCTTCTATGGACTCCCGTACCGCGCCAACTGAACCGGTAAGGAACCTCAAATTTCCGCGTCGCGTTAAGGATTCGCTGTCTTTGCTCAGTATACGGTGCTGGGTGATCGCTGACAGGCTGTCTTGCTTCTCAATCTTCTGTGTCTAAACTGTCAATCACTCCCTCTTATCATTTTGCGACAGACTTAGTGCTTGCGATCCTCCGCCATTGAGGCTTCTCAGTCAAGATGGACGACCCGGCGACCCGTGTTCCCGCGCAGCTGGTACGTTAATCCTTCGAATGAAGTGAACCAGTATGGAGCTTGAGCACTAATTCGACATCATGTTGACCATTTCAGCTGCCGCATATGCATCTGGTGTCGCGGCAACGCTACCCTTTGATGCATATGATGCCTACAGACACTGTTGTCGAATACCTGCTCGGCGCAGCCAAGGTTGTGCGCGAACAGCAACCGATGCACTGGACCTTCCTCGATGCGCCTCAAGATGGGTCGGTTATGCTTACATGGCAGCCCCTCAACCAACTCGGAACCAATTTCGCTAGTGATGGATATGTTTGGGCCGATGTCGAACAGGCGTTCACCTTTGATGCTCGCGGCTACGTACGTCAACGTCACTCCTCTCCAACCCTTTCCCTGCGGCTGCCCTGCGCGCAGACATATTGGTCACTAACAGGAGAACACAACAGACAGTAGAGATGTGGCTACACCGTAGCGGATATCACCCTCCGAACGAATCCGTGGCAATCCACTGCCGTCGCCGGTATCGTCTGCTACCACCGAAGGTTCCCAACCCCAACCTGCCCAACCCCGATCCCGCCTTGTGGATCGTCCACTACACGAGAGCGCCTCCTCAAGACCATATCCCTGCGAGCCGGATTCCCGTCATACCTCAAGTGCAGAACATGCTAGCTCAGCGGCGCTTCTTGCAGAGCCAAGGCCAGCTTGCCCGCAAGGACTTCATGCTGCACGATCGGAACAACTGGCCCGCCATCAACTTCCCCCCACACATGGCGCCTCAGGGCTTTCCGCAGATGCCCGGAGCTTACCCGAGTGCCATGGTCGGACGTCAACCCTTCTACCCTCCTCCCGGACCAGGCGTGCCACCTCCCGCCGCTGCCCCGCCGGCCAAGGCCGCCCGCGGGCATCGCGCTTCCTCCACCGCGGTGAACGCTGCCACCACGGATTTTGCCCTGGAGGACGAAGATGTCTCAACCGGGGATACCATGGATCTCCTCACACCTCGCGAGATCAGTAAAGTGCGCTACACGCAACATCATGAGTGGATGGAGGAGATATTCGCTTCGCCATATGCCATCAGTCAAATCACACCCGTCTCTCTGGGCCTGGGCCGGAAAGGTGCACTCGAATCATTGACGGCCGGCTTTTTCGACGCACCAGTAGGACCTGCAAACGGGGAATCAAAAGACGCCACCGCCCCCTCGCAGGCGGAGAAGTTGGAACCCGCCAAGGCCGAGGAGTTCGCTGATCGGGTTGCTAAGAAGGTCGCTGATATGACTGCTGAGATCGAGAAGCTAAAGAAGCGTCACGCACGTCGAATGGAGAAGTTCAACCGCACCTCTCTACTCAAGGACGCAGAACTCCGACTCCGGGAAGCCGCAGCGGATCCCGCAGAGACAGGCTCGGAGCCATGGAGATTGGAAGGTCGCCTGGTGCTTCCCTCGGAAGAAGATGACTCGCAGGCGGCTCACGTTGAGAACCCGGCCAAGTACAAAGTGGACGATATTGTGCGGGATGTGGAGAAGGTGTGGCAGAGGCAGATTGTACCGGAGCCTCGAGTCTCTTGTGTGCAGAAAGGTGGTCTGCTCGAGAAAATCGAACCAGAGCAGAAGCCTGAGTCTCAACCTGAGGGTGACATTGACATGGAGAATGCCGACAGCCACTTCTTGGATCAGCTGGGCTCACCGGGAACCGCCGCAGGCGAGTCAACAATCCAGGATGCCGGCCAGACTGGGCCAGCACATGTTCCTAACCCGGCCGGCGCAGCTGGAGCGGGTGGGGCAGTCCCACAACAGCCTCGACCGGCAGCGCACGTCCCTCAGCAGGGCCCGTCTGCCTCTTTGGATATCGAAATGGATATGGGCGACCAGCAACCTGCGAGTGCCGCCGGGGAGACTGGAGACTGGGTGATGGTCAACGAAGAGAAGAAGGACCAGCCTGTACCTGGCGATAGCTCTTTACCTGGTGTCGATACCCCGGGCAGCGGCCTCCAAGGATTGACCCCCGGCAACGCAGGCAGTACCGGGGACAATGGTCTGGATGGTGCCAACTTTGACTTCACCAACATGGACAGCGCTGGCGACGCACTCGCCGCATACACCGAGCAGAATGATGGCCTTGACCTTCCCGACCTGGAGAACTCGGCCTTCGGAGACGCTTTCCATGCGTCGGATAATGAAAATACCCACCATCACGATGCTGACGACATGTCGTAAGAGAGACGGCTGCCGACGTGGGTGTTTCGGGATAGTTCTAGATGTCTTGTAATGATTCGGTGCGGTGTTGATGGTATGATATTCAACCACTTGGTTTGGCGCTAAATTTGTTTCTTTCGGTCGTCTTCCGGCCTTCGCAGCGCTGTCCGGTATAGGTCGAGGTGGAGACCAGTGTAGAGATAGGAGTAAGCCATCTTGCTATTTTCTCCTGGATTCGAATCAATCAGGTGACAGGGTTTCAAATCTACTTATAATTTCATTTCATATTCATGATCTGGGCAATCTCTGCGGTATCTTACAGAAGCTTATGCTGGGACTTCTCCTAGTATCCCTGGATTGTATTACTGTTGTATCGCGGGATAGTATTACTATTGTATGCCCCCTCAACAGCCATTCCATACTCTCACAACATCAGCAGACTGCCAGAGATTCATCCAGTAGCAAAACAGCCCCCATGCCCGTTCAAGCGAGGTGGTTATTCCACCTCAAGACACCCCCAATCTTAGGGCACGGCAGGCCAGTCCGTCACATCGCCACATCGCCACCCACCGACGCTCAATTTAGGTCCCCTGTCAGTCATAACCCAACATCAGAAGAACAGACACACAAACACACCCCTTTTGAATCATATTGAGCCCGAGAAATGGATGGTTAAGAACCCCATCACCCTATCACCGGGGCCGATCACCCGCATTAGATGCGCCATGGGGGGGGGGAGAGGGGGTCAAGTGATCCCGTTCCCGGAGGCACGCAGAATAGGATCAAACAACTTCCCATCACTCGCTCAAAACCCACCTCTCTAGTGATTTTTGGGAACTGTATGCCTGTCTTAAGAGAAATGATCCCCATGGACTCTCTCTCAAACTCCACCTCCGAGTGCGGGCTGTGCCACTGAATCTGAAATAGACGGGTATCTGGATTCCCCCAAATTTGAGGTCATTCAGTATGAAGTTCTAAGGCTGAATTGTTGAAGTCCATAAGGTCGAGTACCATTCAACAGTCCCCCGGGGTTAGCGCAGCAACCGCATACTCTCCCTCTTGCTCTTGGCCCTTCATCCAGATCTGTTCTCGTGTCTAGCTCGTGCGCTTTCTATACGCTGTACGATACCCAGGCTACGATATACAGCAACGCGATGTGCTTCACAGACTGCACCGAAGAGACATGCAGCGTCTGCTTCCGCGAATACCGCAGCTGCAGCCGCGGCCGCAGCCGCAGTTGCTCTCGTCGCGGGTGCAGTGGTAGCAGCAGCAGCAGCAGCAGCAGCAGCAGCAGCCCCATCCGCCCCCCACCGCGGTGCTACTCCCCGCGTCGTCGTCGTCGTCGTCGTCATCCCGCCCCCTCCTACACGACCGTCCGCCGAAGCCGGTGCCGGACCGTCGAGGAATCTCTGATTCCGATCCGGGTGGATGTGGAACGGCCGCGGCCGGCGTGGGTGGATGTGCGTCGCGCGTATCGGTGTATCCCGGCGGCTGCGGTGGAATGCGTTGAGATCGTGGAGCCGGAGGAGTGTCTTGTTGTGAGTCGATGGGGGCGCTGTGCAGGCCGGGTTTGGGAGGTGGAGAGGGAGAGGGAATCTGAAGTGGGTTGTGTGGAGGTGGAGGTGGAGTATATTCCTGCTCGTTGTTAGATCCGGGGGTTTGAGAATGGACGGGATAGGTATCGGAGTGTAGGGATGGGGTTTGGCTGCGTTTGTGATTGTTGAGATTCTAGGCAGATTGTGTGTGTGTGTGTGTGTGTGTGTGTGTGTGTGTGTGTGTGTGTGTGTGTTTATTGTCGGTTGGTTGGATTTGGCTTGGTCTTTGGGTATGTTGTTTTGTGTATTGTGATTGAAAGGGGTCCTTGTTGGTTGTCTGTTGGTGTATGTTTGTCATGTTTGAGGTTCAGTTCTGAGTACTATGCACTATGTACGAGTACAAGCACATGATCCACTCAACTCCCCTGATCTCAG